TGGAAGCAGTGTCAATGAAATGGTAAAAAGGAAATTTGTGTCCTTCCGGTGACTGCCATTCAGCACCGTCAAAGGAAACTTGGTCGTTGAAATCTTTGGGTTATGTTAAATGGCCTGGTCGGGCTGCTTTTGGCTTTTGGCTTTCGACACATACTGGACATTGAAAATCGGCACATCCTTGGACGCTCTCAATGGGCCACCCATAGCGTTTCAGGGCAAGTTGCAATACACGATTGTCAGGGTGTCCCAGATTTTGGTGGATCTTACGAATTTGATTTTGAGTGGGTACATCAAGTTGACGGAATTTGGGACCATGGGTGGTGATTGATGACTCATTGACAGGATTATCGCCTGGAAGGATATTATTGGTTGGTGGATTATTGTTGGTTACGGGACCATTACTTTCTGGAACCTCGGAATTCGGGGGGATCTGGCTTTCTGTTTTGGCAAGTTTTGGCAACGGCTGAACCTCAGTGTCACTGCTGCGCTTCTGGGTGGCAAACATCGTCACTAAGATTCTTGATGGTGTGCCGGCTCGAATTTGCTGTCGACCCGAGAGAACCTCCCAGGCTTCCCACTCAGGATCTTCAAACACTTCTAAATCAGCCCTACGTTTTCCAAATGCTCTGCGATAAGGAGTGGTACCTTTAGGACCAATGTTACACGTTCGAAGACGATTGATACCTCGGCATATGTCAATGGCTACGAGCTGTTTCTCCGGAAACGTCTCCTGGATTGCCTGGAACAAAGGACCATCGGTCAAAACAACCTTACCAACCCTGGGAGTGCATTGTTCGGCCATGTGAAGCAAATGAATCAACCTTTCACGATGAGTGGGTTCTGGAATTGGCTCTTCAGGAGTCATCTCGGCAGTTTCTACAGCGTCCTGCTCGGGACTGCTTTTGCCATTCAATCGGCGTCGCTTAGGTTCCGGTGAGGGCCCATCATCTTCCAAACTTGTAGTTAGAAGAAACTCACTGCGGGAACCCACGGCTGTTTCAGAAACATTAAGACTGCACTGGATGGCTCGGCTGAGTCGGCGACCAAACATGGCTGTGTACAGTTCCGTGTACTGAGCCAAAGGCATTCTGTGCATTTTATGGGGCTTACACGATCCTGCAATAACATCATGGTGATGCGCTCCTACACACTGACACCTTTGCAGCATTCTCCACATGATTCGAGATGTTGTCAACACTTGAGTGCGTTTGTGGAGAAGTTCTTGGCTGTTCGGGTGGCGCAATTGACCCGCTACACACATGTCACATGAAACCCGGAAGGTGTGTAGGATGATGTTGCTCATTTCCTTTTGCCACAACATTTCGGACCCCTGAGGTTGTTCCAGATGGAAGTGACAGCAGTCGCTTCTCCAGTCTTGCAGTCTGAACAGGGCATCACACACGAGCAAATGCACGTTCTCGGCGATCCGGTTCACCCGAATTTGTTCGGCTAGCTTCAAGGATTTCTGTGCATTCAAACGATTCCACGAGCTCCATGGTCCACATTTAGGGGAAACCCAAATATGCTGAGGTCTCAGAGTCCAAATCATTTCATAGAGAGCACATCTACCCTTGAAGGTGGATAAGTCGCCTTGGCGCAAACCAAAACGTGCAGTGACCAATCCCAGCTGAGATCCTTGGTGGGTCAGCTGACTTTGCTCTGAGCAATACACTTCCAAGACCTGAATTTTGGATTTTCGAAGGTGTCGATGAACCTCATCGGCAGTCAGTGTGGGATGGCTTTTGCGAAAATAATCCCACATTTCATCGTAAACCCAGTTATCAAAAGGAATTTCATGAGTCAAGTTACTGATGAAATAGGTTGGATCAAACACACTTTCCGGATGTTCGAGTACCTGGTGCATGCCTATTTCATCGCACATGTATGACCTGAGATCTTCCTTGGTCTTGCTCAGAGAAGCTTGCAGATCAGTCTGCCGGGTCTCTACTTCAGGCTGGCTTGGGTCAAAGCCTGAAGCTGCTGCACGATCTGCGTCAGGGTGTGCTCCATGTTCGTGATGCGCTGGTTCTGCATTCCGATCTCCTCTTGCAGCTGGGCTGAGGTTTCTTCTCGCATCACATCCCAGGAGGGAGCCAGCTCTGCATCCGACCAACTGGCATGACTGCCTGCTTCGGATGGGACCGTCTCCGGCTTCTTGGCTTTGCTCTTGGATCGTGCTTCTGGAACTTTCCCTTGATTCAATTCCAGACGCTCCACATAGAGGTTCATGAAGTATAGGAACGATTGGTGTGCCGGTTTTTGACTTCCGGCATACTTCCTGGCGAACCATTGGGCATACTTCGGATCGGTCTCCAGAACTTCGATGTACTTCTGGTTGAGTTTCGTCTCCCCGAAGGTGATCCGAAGCTGCGACATCTGGTCGTACGACATCTTCAAGAAATCGTCGTTGACACGATGGTGTGTCACTGCTTGCAAGCGATCGGCAAGACTGCTGGCACTGTTCTTGGACGTCGACATGATGTGACACAGGCGGTAAGCAACGATCCACAGGGCTTGAGTTCAAAAACCTCTCGGATTGGCACAGCTGATCACCATCTGGACATGGTGAAGCATCAAACTCTTGGCTGGCTACATGCATGATGGGACGGTCCTCCCCTGATTCTTGTATGGGGTCTGCACTTTGCCTGACTAACGCACAAAAATCCAGAAGATACAGCCGTTTTTCAGACAGTTCCAAAGGCATCTGAAATCCGAGGCGTGAAAACTCTACTGTGTCATGAGCAGTGTCGATCTTGGCACCCAAAGTGCGAAAGACATTGTTGGATATCAGAAAAGGTGTTTGTGAAGGCACTACACAAATTCGGACATACCACTGCTTCAATGGCACCAGGATGGCATGGTTGCTCTGCACGGTGCTACTATTGCCAAACCTGAAAACAGTCTTACATGGTACCTTTCGGACAGCTTTGCGAATCTTCTCGGGAAAATGGTTGAGGAGTTCTTGGACCTGATGGCTTCCTATCACAGTCTGACTCGCTCCAAGATCAACTATTCCGAAAGGGCCATGACTCACGAACATGCACTCGGCATTAGACTCATCACGAGTCTCACTAATCGGAATCTTAGGTTTCATGGGCTGAGGGCTCAGTCTGGTTTTCATCGATTGCAAGAACCTGGACATGAGTGGCTTGCTTAGCACATGACTTGGCAATTCCGACTTCTGAGTGAAATTATGTTCCTGACACATGAAAACATCCGCTACTTTGGGGTGATGGAAAACATTCTTTCGGCAGTGAGGCACCTCCGTCATTGAACTCAGCAAGATCATATCTTCTTCGGCATCGGAGGCGGTCATGGTCATGGCGGTACCAGCAAAAGCAGCAGGTTCTTTGGTGGTGGTCATCGTGGCATTAGTGCTGGCAGTTTTGGCTAGCGGACATTCAGCTTTCCAATGACCTCGTCGTCCACACCTTCTGCACTCCGACTCAAGGATTCTCTGAGCCAAGGGTTTTCTCATACGGCCGCTGAACTTACCCTTGGACTTTCCACGGCCCTTGAACGAAGAAGAACCCTTGCTGCTTCCACCGCTCCAAAACCCACGATTTTTGTTTCTGTCGGTCAACCTCTTTCTGGCATCTAAGTAGGTGTTGTAACATGCAGCAATCTCTCCATCGGTTTGGAGAGCTTCCACCAAGCTCTCTTCAAACTGAAAACAAATGACTGCATCCGGATCATTCTCATCAAAATAATCACTGTCATCCCAGGCCTCTCCCACGAAGATCTGGTCATCCTCCATGGAAGCTAAGCTAGGTTCTTCATCCATGACTGTGTTGATGTCATAGGTTTTGCTACGCTGAGTGTTCTTCACGGTTCCCTGGACTTCCTGAAAGAATCGAGATCCCAACAGTTTCATGGCTGAGAGAACTTTGTCATGTTCCAGCTGACCCTGACTGTCGACAATGATGCGTTTCTTATCTTCTTGAGTCAACCCTGAGTTTCTCAGCAAACAGTAAGATCTAACTTCTTCCAGTTTGGTTCCCATACTCAGCATCTCTTCGAAATGGTGATCATGACGGGCAAGGTAACTCTCATGAGTCTCATCAGGCTTCTGTTGAGTTGAGAAAATGGCACGCTCGAATTTCTCAAACTTGTTCTCATGTTGAGCCTTTCCCCAAACTCCACCGAGAGCAGCTATCACAGCTTTGACACCTTGAACGGCTGAGGCCTTCAGTTTCTCTGCAGGGATCCGCATGACCCGTTGAAAAGCACTTCCTTTGCAATTCATCGCGACACGAGGGGCCAACAGGTGCAAATGTTCTTCCGGCCACAAACTTGAAAGGAATTCAACCTTCTTTGTATATTCATTGATCTCGGTGACTCCGGGATCAAACTGAGGAATCATGTTCCATGGCAAATGCGACAGGGAGCTGGTGGTGGAAACAGTCTCTCCGGAGGCCATGCCACTGCCTGGATCTGATTCAGGCATCCTGGATCTCCAACTTACAGCTACAGGTACCTTCGCAGATGTGCCCCCTGGGCAATGAAGCTAGGCACAGAGCTGGTTGGTGGTAGCTCCGCTACCAATGTGGTTTCACCCACACTGGTAGCAAGATGATTGCAACAAGCAAATCCCTTTCGATGAACTCCCTGGTCCAAATCAGTAAGCTCCCAAGTTCAATCTGTTTTCCGCTATGGCTCGGCCGCGAGCGCTGTGAAGTCACCTGAAATGGGGCCACCTAAGCCCTCAGCCCTTTTCCTGATGGCTGCCCTGAGCCACTAGTGAAGCATCGGAAGGTCGATGCACAGTCAAGGTTATCCATTGGATTCAACTCATTGAATTTCCCTTCCAAGACAGGTAAGTGGTTACCTCAAGGTTTATCAGGAAAATCACAGTATGTATACATATGTGTCAATATGATTATATATATAATATACATCTTTTTGTAGAGAAGCGACGAAGATACTTCCCCCAAGTTACTTCCACGTTGCAACTGGGGTCGCCGGAGACATTGAACTGGGGCTTCCAGTTGGACCTTAAGGAAACTGGCAACGTGTCGCTGGGCTTCTACCTGGCTGTTCCTGGGCCAATTTTGGATGAAATCCTTCACTTCGATGATTGAAATCCAATGGTGCAGGTACAGGATGGGGCCCCCAATATTCAAGATAGCGTTCAGTTGCCTAAAAAAAGTGGCGGAATTCTATGGTTTATGGTAGATATAACAAGCTAGTTAATGGGGATTAATCCCCTCCCCCTAATATTAAACACCCTCTAAACGAAACCATGGAGGACCTCATCAGGCCCGCAGGTTGGAGTAGAAATGAACACAACGTTCCGAACCAGTATCCTTGCTTCGGCTTCTTTTGCTTTTCTACCGAAATCAACCAACCTGACAAATTGCAGATCGGCAAGGGCCAGCTTCCGGCCGGACTCATAGCTACCTGCCGAAGTCCGAAGATTACTAAGCACTTGGCAGGGGGCAACGATCAGCTGCAGAGGATGTGCCGTTTGGGGGGCATAGCTAAGGGCAAAGACGGTGCAACGGCCACCAATTCTTCATGTGCCAATGTGGCCTTCATCGCTGCGACCCATCAAGTCTCCTCATCGATGATTACAACCTCAGCATCACCTGATTCAGATTCCGCATATTTGGGACCATAAATTGGGGTGTTTAATTTTAGGGTGATGGGATTATGTGGGTGAAGGAAGGTTAACCACCAATGACCCACACAATATGGCTAAACATGATAAATATGGTCAAAGGGTGAAAAATTTTGATTAACACTAGTCATGGGTTGATATATATATATATATATATGTAATGGTGGTTTACCACCTATCAACTGGTGATTTCCTCTATCCACAGTAACCTTGATAGATTTTGCTTCTTGGTCTTATCAAAATCCTCCCGTCCCAAAATGTTGCAAGCGGTCTAATATTATTGCCCATATTCTTGGTTTCAGCATGACATTTATTCTGATGCACAGAAATGAAAGAGCTGATGCACCAAGGCTGGGACTAGCGAGTCCTTGTGTGGTAAACTCCATAATGAACCTCCCGTTGAGGATGGTAAATAATACCACTCTTTTCCAGTGAAATTGGGGATAGTCAGTTTATTGGTTTGACCACATTAATCTATGTGTATAGCTTCGTTTGATCTTTGACTTGCCTGTGGGGCGTTGACTTGCTTCGTGGCTCCATTTGGTGTGCTTGGAATGAGTTGGAATGGGCACCGAAAACACCATTCCTCAAAAAACGTTCCGCAATGATTCGCCCTTTTGATGATTGTTTATACCCCATAGTGTTTCAAAATTTCAGGGCAATAGATCTGAGTAGATCATTGTTTCATAGTGTTTCAGTTTATTCTACATTTTATCCATCATCCATATGCTCGAAGCTTGTTTCAATGCTACTGTTCATGCTCTAAAGCACTTCATTTGCAAGATTGACTTGAGAGAATATGTTGAATTGCGCATTACATCGTTACCATCTATTCTCCCTATCTCTGCGTGTTTCGCCATATAGTTTGCTTAGTTTGCCTGTTTGTGTTTCCATACGTTGGTTCATTGGCGACGGCAACAGGTTCTGACGCGTTGTTGGCTGTTGATCCAGCTCTCGGCCGAAGTCTTGAGATGTGTCTTGTGGTTGGTCGAGGCGTGCAAACCTCCTTGGCGAATCTGCCCGGCAGAGAGCTGACTCACTTTTTGTTGGGGAAGTAATGGGAAGTACGTATATTTGTAGCATTTTGTAGTATATTTGTAGTGTATATACATATATATATACTGTATATTTACATATATATATATGTATATACATATTCATATTTACATATACATATATACATATATACATATACATATATGCATATATACATACATATATATATATATATATACATATATATATACATATATATATATACCAGCACGTTCAAAGGGATATCAAAAATTGAGATTCTTAAGGGGTGCCTAATGGACACCCCTTAGCGTTCATGGAGATGGCACACTAGAAAATGATTAGTTCCAACCCGAAATCTTCCAATCCTACCCGCGTGGCATCTTTGGTGCACCTGACTTCTTTTTTGGCGAGAAGAAATGCATGTGTGTCATTTCGTGTCAGATGTAAAATGTTCCCGACTTTTAAACAAACTAGTCAAAATCGACACGACACGAAATGCCACGCGCAGGGGTTGTCCAAAAAGCACCCGACACGTTTCTATAAGGGGTGCATATTGGACACCCCCTACCGACGGACACGACACGGCAATGACACGCATGTTTTTCTTGATTTCTATTAAAAAAACTCGTGACCTTTTCTTTTTTTTGACCGACACGACACGGCAATGGAACGAAATGACACGCATTTCTGGAAGCAAACGTGGGAAATCAAAGAAAAATGAAAATACTACTATGAATACCTCAATATCTGTTTGTTAGTTCAGGAAGGGGTGCCTAATGGACACCCGTGCTAAGGGGTGCTTGTTGGACACCCGTTTGGACATCCTGGTATACACACACATATATATGTTTTTTTCTCATGCACGAACTTCATCTTTTCGCTCCAGTGGTGACCGCATCAACTCTTCCCAGGATCCAACCCTTCCAACCGTATTTTTCAACAGGACACCTGGCAACTACAGACTTTCCAGACCTATCGGCAGATCCTAACAGGCGCGGTTCGCCGGAACTGCGGTGGCAGTGGATCATGGTTGGTGTCCTGGAGATTTTCCACGGATTTCTATGGGATTTCTTTAGATTTCTCTGAATTTCCGTGGATTTTTGGAGGATCTTTGGTTCATCCTGCACAGATGATACCTCAGTCTGCAGCCATCTTTTGGGATGGTTATCATCCCCAACCGACCAGATGGGTAGGAACGAATCATTTAGTGTTTCGCTATAATGTGGTTAAAACAATAATACCAATAATAAACTAGCCATTTGGGAATGGTTCATACCACCTATCTATGGTGATTTGGGGGGTGGTTTATGACATTGTTTTAACCACATTACATGGAAAATCACCATCGCCAGCAACTAATTTTCGCAACAGATTGATTTTGGATTGTCAAAGATGACCAAAAGCGCAAAATCCTCTGGTGTTCCTCTGGATTTGTCAAACCAAGAACTCTACGCTGACACAACTCCTGTGAGTCGGAGATAGCAGATAGACTCTCGAGATGAACCTTTCAGTGGGGTACTGAAATGGTGTCTGATAGGCTAAGCTATTGGTGAAATGGTGAATGATGATTTTTCATGCATTTTCCCAATAGATGAATTGGTGAATGGTGATCGACCATTGGTGATCATGAAAACCATCATTCTTGAAATGGTGAAGCTGTTAAATGACAAATTTAATGATCATTTTTATAGGGAGGCACCATGTTCGACCTATATGGTCGTTGTAACCCTATCATTAGGTCGGTGGCCGAGACCAGGTTATGCGTCCAAAGAGATGCAACTGGCCAGCGAGGCTGGGTCCAAACCGTTCCCAACGCTGACCCGATTTTCCAAAGCTTGATTTTTCGACATATGTTGGAAAACTAGCTATATGGAAAAAAACATAGCACCAAGAAAAATTGAGGAAAGAAAAATCAAAAAAAGATATGGCAAATTGCCTCCTGATGGAACGTGATCATGTTGAACAGCTGCAAATCATCGAACTAAATGGGCCATCTATACCATAGCTATGTTAGTTTACAGCCGCGTGTTAATACCCATTTGGCAATATACCACCATTTCAGGATCGCTAAGTCAGATGAAACCACCATCTTGATGGTGAAACCTCAAATAGAATAACTGGGAGCCGTAAACATCATTTTTCACCATGTTTCATAGCTAAATCATGGTAAATCCCAAGTTTTCACCATGGTTCGATGGTAGATCCCCATTTTCCACCATATTTCATATAGGTAAATCCAAATATGTTGGGGGCCACGACATCAATCTCACAGATCTTCAGGAGATGACTGCAGCCCAAAGCTTGGCTGTGACGGGTCGCTGGAAACACAGCCACTGGGCACATTCCGACGAATTATCGTTCTATATGTATGTGAAAGGGGGGCAGCTCATGATCAATGAATTTTGGCAAATTACTGTATGTTTCTTAAAGTCATGATTTTTTTCAACATCTCGATTGGTAGATGTTCCTTTTTCTTACCGGCAGCAGCAGTGCATTGGTTTCCGCCGGTGCCAGGAGGAAAGAACGACTAGCTGTGGGATCATCTAATACCTGTCGTTCACTGACGAAATGGGATGAAGCAGCAAGTAGGCAAGTAGCCAACCAAGAAGTACTGATTGGTGGTTTGGAACATTTTTTACTTTTCCATATATTGGGAATAATCATCCCAACTGACTAATATTTTTAAGAGGGTTGAAACCCACCAACCAGATTAAAGAAGGCCCATCTCTTGATGAGATTTACCATCCAAACTCTGAGTAGACATTGATAGTTCAACCCGATATCCCATATGCTCCATGGTGCTGGAATATGCACACCAACATTTGCCCGAACAAAATCACCCAGTTCTGTAGGTAAATATACCATACATGGAGCATATAGGTATTGCATGGTATTGCTAGGTTTAATCAACATAAAAGATGGTTTAGCCAGCAACAAACATGTGGTTTTGACCATCAAACACAGAGGTTTAACATTGGTTGAAGCCTCCTGAAGTTGGAATATCGAGCCAATATGTTCTCACCCCCAAAGAGGAACCGCACATCCCATATACTCCATGTATGGTATATTTACGATCAACTCCCACCATTTGCCCTGCTTCTGGAAGAGTTCGACGGGATCATTATCATCATTATCATCATCACCATCACCATCATCATCATCATCAGCAGCAGCATCATCACCATCATCAACAACATCATTGGTATGATCATCGCCGTCTTCTAACAGAATACTGGAAATCGGTTCAAAATGCACTGTTCCAGCACTTTTGGTTGCACTAACAGTTCAAACAGAATCCTAACAACCGTTGCAATTTTGTTAGAGCAAGCAGCTCTAACAGCATCCTAGCAAACTGCTGCAAAAAGCACCCACCCCACCCCGCCTTGAAGCATGATAATTGGATCATCTTGGGCCCAGCATGAACATCTTGCGCAAGGTCGTATGAGCGTTATCATCGCCCCATCCCACCCCACCCCTCTGATGCAGCATCAAAGCCTTGTGCAAAGGCGGGTGAACGTAAGCATGCCCCCACCCCACCCCACCCACCCCATGTAAGCATAGCATCAACATCTTGCGCAAGGTCCAGGCAACGTGGTTGAAGGAACGTTTACATCCCCACCCCACCCCATGTGAGCGTAGCATCACATCTGCGCAAGGTCGAGGGAACGTGGTTGAAGGAACGTTTACATCCCCCCCACCACCCACCCCACCCCATGTGAGCGTAGCATCAACATCTGAGCGTAGCATCAACATCTTGCGCAACGTCGAGGGAATGTGGTCGAAGGAAGGTTTACATCCCCACCCCACCCCATGTGAGCGTAGCATCAACATCTGAGGGTAGCATCAACATCTTGCGCAAGGTCGAGGGAACGTGGCCGAAGGAACGTTTACATCCGACCCCACCCCACCCCATGTGAGCGTAGCATCAACATCTTGTGTATGGTCGAGGGAACATGGTCGAGGGAACGTTAACGTCCCCACCCCACCCCATTCCAGCCCCCCATCCTAACCCATGTAAACTGAGGGGCAAATGGTGGGCGTTGCGTCTATATTTACCTACATTTGAGTGATTTTGTTCGGGCATATGTTGGTATATATTCCATACATGGAGCAAATGGGCATAGATAGATCCAATATTATTAAGCCAATGTTTCCAGAGTGGTATCCAATATTCCAGGAAAGGATTGGTGTACTGGTTTACATGTGGTCATTTTGCTGGTCATGGTCCACGGCATGGTATCTAATTTTCACAATGACATGATTGTATACTCAACAAATCACATCCAATCCTGATGAATAATTTCTGGAATATGTCCGATGATAGGTCATCCAAGCTGTGGAATGAGGGTCCCCATACCAGCTATGTTGATGCCAGCTATAGGAATGATGGTCCCCAGGTGGATGACATGTAGAAAATGAGGGGATTCCTTGGGTTGAGCAATGAGCTGGGGATAGATGCCAAGTTCCCTAGATCAGGATCTGTGAAATTGCATCCAATCTTGAAATGCGGATGATATTTGATATATATATATATATTATTTATATATGAAGTACATATGTATACGTATATGTACGATTACAATATTTAATGGTCGATATATATTGTACGATGTACTGTGTACTATGTACGATGCATTATGTATTGTATATATATTGTATTGTGCATGGTGTAATATGCGTTATGTATCATGTATCATGTATTATCCATTATGTGACAATGTGTATGTATATAGATATATACATACATGTTATGTGGGAATGATGTTCCATCTATGCAAACCGCTAACCCAGCTTTACCAGGAGTATACTTGCAATGATGTCATGTTTCCTCCAGGTTGTGACGTTTCGCTGAGGTAGCTCCTGCAGATGGTGGTTGGATCTTGTCGTGTCTTGTCCTGGGTTATAATGCTACAAGGTGGGCCAGTTCCCCCATTCCATTTGTTGCTTTACAAACCCCATCGAACTAAACCAACTTAGCGAAGGTGCCCCAACTTGTAGTTTTTAGTAAGGTCGTCATAATAAACAGATATAATTAGCTATCAAATAACAAAAACCTGGTCGTTTTAGTCGTCATCCAGAAAGATTCGAAAAGGCGAACATGGTCGCATGATTTGCTGTGTTCTCATACATTGTTTTTCCCCCAAAGTTGTGCTACTTCCCTTTCCCCATTCGTGTTCGTTACATGTTGTAAATTATCATATTTGGATTAGTTCAATTATTTCAGTGTTGTTTTCCTCCATTTTATGATTTTTCTTAGAAAATCCCGGAAATGATTGGTGTGGAGGGGAATTAAATCCACTGTGCCCGTTGCAACAGAGGCTCATCCTCCATACTGTTGATGGTTGCGAAAAATCTGCACCTGATAGCGGTGTTTTTTCCATGACTTATAGGGTTTCAACATGTTTCAACCATCCTTTTGGTGGTGCAGGGTTCCCCCAGCGTTTGGTGCCGCCAGGTCCAGGTCTGCGTGTACGGATCATTGGATGTGCAGCTCGTTGGCGAATGGGTTGGTAAACATTACAATTGGAGGGGTTGCCATAAATCATCCAATTGTAGATATATCATCTATGGGGAATGATAATGATTATATATTATATCTATAAATCTGGCTAAATTATGACGACCTCACTGTTCGACCGAGCCCTGGAATGATGGCTAATAAGGGAAATCATTCCCAAATGGCCGAACTATTCAAGGGAAAGGGAAGATGAGTGGCCGAACTATTCAGGTTAGTGAAATATGATAAGTTACCCAGATCAATGGGGAATTCCCATAAAATGCATGGTTTATGATGGAAACTCCAGTGAAAATGGATGATTTAGGCGTACCACCTATTTCGGGAAACCTCCACTTGCACCATCCCGAAGTACCATTTGTTTGGGATTCCAACCATGAATCTATATTTTTTTCTAGTTTATGGCACTGCTCTACTAACATGAGTAATCACTAGTGTCATTCAATGGTATTAATTAGATGTTTTATTTTTATATAATTACTAGTACAGTATTGTACTGTAATAGATGACTGTATGTGTTGTTTTTATTGACATTAGTTGTGTTATTATGTTGTCATGTTAAGAAAAACTGTTTATCGATATTTTGTCTCAGTCTTTGGAGTCTCCATACTGGAGCCCCTGACACTGCACTCAAGAACTTATAATATCGATTGGCGAGCAACTGTAGGACATGGGTATCTGTCAAACCTTAAGCAAAATGATATCGATGCTGAATTGCAAAGAACTGCATGTTGTTATATTTGATGTTTTTTTGTCTTATGCACATCCTGCATCACTGAGGATACCTCTTGTGATGTGCATCCCTCCCTTTATGAAGCTGGAATCTCGCCTGTCTGACCAAAAAAGATGTGGAAAACCATGGAAAACCCATGGATCCGGAAAATAAAATGTGGGGTTTTCCACATGGCAGAGTTGTCTGATTGTCTTTTCATTTGGGAAAATCATCCCAGTGGAACTTGTCAGCGACTCGCCATAGAGCTGATTACGTAGCTCATGTTTCTTGGGGTCGAGGGCATCATTGATGTTCTATGAAGTACGGACTAGAACCAAGAAATATGAAACATTTTGTTTGGACGAAACTGTCACCATTTCATGTTGAAGCAGTGTCAGTACGTCCAAAAGATAAAAAGATATGGCAGTGTGTCAAAACCTTGTACCCCTGTAGTTCACATCAAAATAGCTGGTAAATGGATGTTCATCCCACTAAAAATGGTATTAAAAGGTATTGATCCATAGCCATATGAAACATCCGCCTGTTCTGACAGTCAAAACATGGATAGCTAAGGCATTGGGGAAGGCAAAAACCACAAACGCCATGGAGATGACACCACAAGATGGGGAAAAAGGTCGTTGACGAAGTTGGTTTAGAAGTCCAATAAGTATCAATAAGCTAACTTATAAGTGACTTATATTTCCATCCAACTTATAAGTGACTTATATTTCCATCAATATTTATGGATGTTTTTGGGAAATATAAACTATAGCTAACGGGGATTATACAGTAAATCAACTTGTAACTCGGGGGCAGCATCCTTTAGGTTAGTGGAGTGTCGGTCTAGAAAAGCACCCGCATTCCCGGAAGTCCTATCAGGGCCGCAAACACAGAAAGCACCATTTTGGTGGGTCATTTTTTTTTTTGAGGTGAGAAACCCGAGCTTTCCTGTGATTGATCCGTGTTATCCACAATAGTCAGGAAGACTGAGATTCTGCAGACAGACATGCCATGGTGTCAAAACAGACAGGCCATTTTAAGGACTTCCATTTTGGGACGGATTGCCCCCACGAGAATGCTGTGATGATGGCTCCTGGAAATCGATGTTCCCCATGTTTCTTGATAAATCGGCTACTCTTCCCCCTACAACTACAACTTCTACGCGATTTCTTACCCCCACACTCCGACATCTTTTTCGGACTGCACGTGGAGTGGTACACTCCGGTAATCAAACATGGCAATTCAAAATCCTCTATAAATGGACATTTCAATGCATAATGGGAACATCCTTTGTAAATGGATGATTTTCCAGCCATGTTTGATTACCAGAGGCTTTTTCTGTGAATAATTGGAATCTCCAAAAGATAGAACAGTAAAAACCAAGAACATTTCAGTGCAATGAGTCACTGTTCAGCATCTTTTTCAGCCCCTTCCTGATGGTTTTTGTTCCACCCGGGCGTACGCGCGTCACCGCGTGTCACGCACAGGACCTAACGGGTGGCCTCAGCACATTATTTGCCACGGCTTGTTCCATTGCTCTGTTGCATAGCGTCCTGCTGCGCCATGGCGGCATTGGATGGCATTGGGGCGACAAGTGGTTTGATGTGGTCAAAACATCGAAGTATCCACAATAAGAAACATTTATGGCTGGTTGGTGGTTTCAAACATGAATTTTATGTTCCATTTCATATATGGGATGTCATCCTTCCCATTGACGAACTCATATTTTTCAGAGGGGTAGGTCAACCACCAACCAGATGAGAATCTAGTAAATAAACCGATGTTTTGGATTTTTATGGTAAACTGAGTTGAAAACAGTAAGCCATAGTTAATCAGTTTTATGATTTTATGAGTGGTATCAACCATGAAACATGGGGTGGTTATGGGTGGTTTATCATTTATTATTGTATATTATTGGTCTAACCACATTAACGTTAGTAAAACAACAGCAAGCTATACTATATTTTGATGGTTTATACCACCCGTTTACTATTGCCTTACTAACATCCACCAAGAAAAATGTATATAGTTAAGACTTGTCTTGGATTTGCTGATTCTGTTTGTGTTTCCCAGTAGATCATCCACCATGATTGAGGAATCTACCAGCAGTGTGTGTTATTTGTTGGGACCCCTTGAGCAAATCCACGATGTTAAGACATGTTATGACGATGATTTTCCATAGTTTCTGACATGAGCATCAATAACTCAATAACTTTGAGATTGTCTCCAGGTATGTGGCTTGGGTTCTGAGCGATCTTGTGACCAAGTGCCTTGGAGAACAGCTGTTGAAATGGACTACTCACAGGATTTACCTAGCAAAAACATAGAACATTGCCATTTTACATCTACCCTCTGGTTATGACTAACATAGCCATGGAAAATCCCAACCATAAATGGAGGTTTCTAGCTGGGAAAATCATCTATGTCTATGGGCCATTTGCCATGGCTATGTTAAATAACCAGAGGATACATGCAAATGACGGGAAATGTATGATGATCAACAAAATTTGGGGCTGACCTGAGATCGATTTTTCTGGCTTGAGATGGCTATACCAAAGTGGATATCTGTCAAATAATATGCAGCTAGTGTATTTGCTGTCTTCACTTGAGGTTCTAATAATTTATGAATTTAACGCTGCTAAAGTTTCCTGCGATTACTTGGGGTTTTCCTTGCCTGGCAAAAATTGTCCAATGTTCACAAGGGGAGCAGAAACCAGTGTAACAGGTTGAAATCATGGTAATTTAGTCCTTATTCCCACTATGATTTGATTGTTGTTATTTGATGTTATTTGTCCTCCTTCTTCTTATCATGATTATCGTGTTTATTGGTAGAACATGTATTTCGTAGTTGGTTTGTTTACAGAAATTAAGCAAGCATATGTCATCGTGACTGGAAGGATTTCAATCTCTGGATGAATAGATGAATAGATCCAATGCTAAACCAGGGTATGGTATCATGAAAAAATGGGTGACGGCATATATTTTTTAGTGGAACAAGCAATGGTTTATGAACTGGCGATTCCAGGTTTATGTCATTCTGTTCCACCTCAGCAAAATTGGAGGATCATCACTGCTGAGCATAGAAAAATCAGGGGGTTGGGGGCTCAACCACCAACTGGGGATGGGTTTACTATGGTGTTATCCCATAAGAATGCCATATTCATCCCATAGGTCTTCCTATCCAATAGTTCAATAATGATCCAACAGTGATCCCATAGCTGTTTCATTGTTATCCCGTAATTTCCGGAGTATTATCCCACAATGATTCCCTGGTTGGTGGTTTGGAACATGAATTTTATTTTTCCATATAAGGGGAATGTCATAATCCCAACTGACTTTCGCATATTTTTCAGAGGGGTTCAAATCACCAACAAGTTCCATTTTTTCCATGATTTTCCTATATTATGCCATGGCGACCGGTCAGGATTAGGATGTGGAAGACCATCCGACGTCACGACGGTGACAATGGTGATGCCTTTCTGGTGCCGTGGGAGCTGGCCGGTGTCATGTAGTATGGGACTATGGATACCATTGTGGAACTGCCCTCAGGTAAAAGTTTACATAGCTATCGAACATCATCATGTTTAATAGGCAAATCAACTATAAGCAATTTTCAATAGCTATGGTAAACTACCAGAGGGTATATATCAGGAGGTTTCGTGGGAGTTGGTTGTTTTGTGGGATAGTTGCGAGAAGTAAAGGGTCAATACAGCAGCCCCGAAGTCGTTAGACAAATGCTTGATGTATTGCATGTGCCCTTATCTAGAGATACATACCATGATATGGAAAAATAACGAAACCTATACATATATATATATACATAATTATGTGTATAATTATGTGTATATATACATAATGATATATGATACACAGTTTTTTCTTTAGCACCTCTGCAGTGGAGTCCAGGCCTCAGCAGCCCGTTTTATCTTGTTAATATGGGAAAACTAGTGTAATAGTCCACTATAATAATCAACCATGGTATAAGAAAATGATAAAATTATAGGTCGGATTATTACAAGAATGATCATGTGGGTAGTTCCCAATGCCATAAACGCACCATCCCCCAGTCATCACCATAAAATTACCATTCAAATATATAGGTGGTATATAGACTTACCACTCCCAGCCATGGGTGGTAAAAATGACATTCTTTTACCCACATTCACCTGGGCGCTGGAGCGGCGAAATATGTGACTCGGGGTGACATGATGTTTGGAGAACAATAAAAAAGGAATATTTGAATATACTGTCACTGTAAATATGCATAAATATGATTGATACATGTCGATACATGTTGATTTAAATTATCCCATATCTTTCGTTATAAAAGCCCCGTTGTTTGGGTTCAACACGGTTATCGCTTTAAGAAATACTTGACTTTTCAGATTTCGGTACGTGTTGCTGGTTGCCATAAATTATCCCATTGTCCTATCTGAGCCGCGTCAGTCCGCAGAACAAAAAGTCGCCCGGAATGAGTTTTGCTACCCTCTGGTAAACTAACATAGCGAACTGGAAAATCACCGTTTTCAATGGGAAAATCCACTATTTCTATGGCCATTTTCAATAGCTATGTAACCAATTACCAGAGGGTAATTGTTAGTTTTTGTTTGCGTTTAATCTTGTTGAGCTATGAGTCACTTTGGCCTGGCTGGATGTCCTTAGTATACGACGCGCAGTTTTGACCTTGTCATCATGTGCCTTTTTTTTGGGTGCTCGGTGTCGCTGTTTCACCATGGACCCATTACAGTAATTCTGGGATCATGATCCCTGTTGGTTGATTCTGGAGAATTATACTACCCACTATTAATTAGTGACTATGGTGATCCACTATGGGAAAATCTAGACTTGTTCTATTTAGCAAGTCTGACTAGGGACGACACAGGGTTTTGAGCATTCAATTCAACGTCAATGGCAATGTGGATGATTACAACCAACTATAACGAAGTATAACGGGGTTTATATCTATGGAGGTACTTGTAAAATATTGATTGATATTGTATCAGTTTTCCCATGTTATACCCCATTGTACCTCCTCTCTACGTGTTTCTTCCCCTTGGCCTCGGCCTTGGGCCACGGCCTTGGTTGGTCGCCATGTCGCTGCGGTCAGGTGGAGGCTCCAGCAGATGTGGAGGATGTGGAGGTGGAAGTCGAGGCCGCAGGGGTAAGAAACTCACCGAAGTTGTGGCCTTTCAATGGGATTACCCTCTGGTAAACTGCCACACAACGAGGAAGGTCCACCAGATCCACCATGCTATCAAGGGGTAAATCCACTATTTCAGAAACTCACCGAAGTTGTGGCCTTTCAATGGGATTACCCTCTGGTAAACTGCCACACAACGAGGAAGGTCCACCAGATCCACCATGCTATCAAGGGGTAAATCCACTATTTCGACTGGGCAATGTTCTATAGCTATGTCAAATTACCAGAGGGTATATATATATGGGATTATACATTCCATTTTTATGGGCCTATAAGACGTTATGTACAAGTACTAAAATAACTAGTAACTAGTATGTCGGGCAATCACTGCAAGGGGATTTATCATGGGATACTTTCGGTGCGTTTTTTTTATGGAATCATTCTGGGATACTGATGGGATACTGATGGGAAATGATGAGGAATGATATAAGAATAATGCTATTGGGATACTTAGGGGATACTTTGGGAATATTTGGGGGAGAACCATGGGACAATTCTGTGATAGTTATCCGGACATTATGGGATAACTATGGGATATTTATGGAATCATTGTGGGATCATAGGGGCTAATCATGGAATAATTACTTATAGTAAAACAATCTCCAATTGATGTGATTTGGACGGGTAGAACCTTAGTGGGTTCACCTTTATAAGTTGGGATGTAACAGAATACAACCCCTTGAACTATGGTGAAATATATCCACTCAGTTTAATAGAACTGTACCACTGAGTTTGGGATCACCCATCCCGGGGCTTCTAGGGGAGTCCTTAATGTTAGTGGTGAAAAAATAACAGTTTTGATCCATACCTAGGTAAACTTAAAGCTCTTTGGTTTGGTTGATTGTCGGCTATTTGCGATACAGAACTGGGGCAATAGATGTTTTGTCCCAGCCAGATTTGAAAAGCAAGACAGGGAATGCATGTTTGAAAGACAGCACCTGACAAGACACTGCCTTTTTTCTAAACCACTCAAATACTGGTTAGTGGTTTCAAACAAGTGCTATTGTCCATTTCATATATGGGATGTCATCCTAATTACCCATTGACTTTCATATTTTTCAGAGGGGTGGGTATACCACCAACCAGAATATGACATCAATTTCGCTGAGAGCTGGGCCCTGAGGGTGGAGAGGGTTCGCACAGGATCTGAGATGAGGCACTTGCTGGACGAGTCCTCTATCTTTCATGGTTTCTTGATGGTTACCTGAAAAAACTCACATGGATGTGGGAAAAAAAAACACCATAAAAGTAGATCATGTTCTTTGGGTTTCCTGAAGTTTCATGGAAATTTTCATGGTTTTTCCGCATCTAGCTCTGAAAAATCACCATATTTTTCGGTCAATTCCCATGTGTGTCACCGATTTTACTGGGCCAGCAACGTTTCCCCGGTGTCCAGGAAGAAATCATGGCCCCAGCCCACGTGTGCGCTTTGTTCGGTGGAGCCCGAGAGCCCTGCCGGGGGGAGACTCGTGGATTGATGCAGCAACAAAATGCGGCAGTTTCCCTATGAAAAAGGTGGATTTGCCCATCAAAACGGTTGAAATCAACCATGATTTACCATGATTTTCCCATCCAAATCCATCCAAATGGTGGAAATCAACTATGATTTACCCAGCAAAATTGCTTCCTTTACAGCAAACAATGAGGAATCATGTGGATTTCCGCATGAAAAATGATGATTTTTCCAACAAACATGTAGATGTGCTTAAGTATTCAAATCGTCACTAGACACTAGACACAATTTTGGGTGGTTCGTTCACCAGTTTCTCCAGAAGTGTGTGATTCAAGCTAGGAAATTTATCACCAAACATGGTTGTTTGAACAGATATTACAAGTGGTTGGTTTGTTGGGTGGGTGGCATCAAAACAGAGGCAATGATGGGTCCAGTCGAACACGTGGGATTCTCATCACAACAACCAGTTGGGTCACGATCTAATAGGGGTGACCCACGGCGTACGGCTCTAACGATTGTTTCATGCGTGTTTCCCATCTCTGACTTACCATCTATTTGGATAATCCAATTTTAGGGGCAAACAACTATGTGATCCACGGATTGATATCTAGTTTCAGCATTGGTTAAACAAATCTGATCAACAAAACAGTCAAATTGTGGAAACCAGTTAAACCATGTGAATCCATTTTTGGGGGGGCGGCATCTTCCCATGTTTGACAGCCAGAAAAGCCAGAGAGGTCCTACATTTGGGTTGGGTGGCCGTACTGAAATCCCTGGTCTTCATAGCTTTGTTGGTCCTGGCGCTTCAAAGACGCTCGGGGCATCGATAAACTTGGGCGTTCGATGTAGTCAAACCCGGGATTTCAAAAAAAAAATGGAAACTCCACAATCATCCAGTTGATTGCTCTTGGTGTGTTGAGGAAACCAGTGGTTAACACCCAAATTCTGGAAATTTGGGAAGTGAGTTATCCAGATATCGGAACTTGGCTAAGGGTTTGGCCCCAGGTGAAACAACTCCCATCTCGTAATTAAACGATTTGCCATGGAAAATTACCATGTGTAGTAGGTCAGGTCGATCATCGAACTAAATGGGCCATGGTTTCCATAGCTATGTGAGTTGACTGTAGGGTACGTAAACTGGTTATTTGTTTTGGCCTTGTTTGGATCGATAACATAGTGGGAATTTCCATTTCATGGATTGTTCAATGTGATGACTGTGATGATTTCATTGTTATGAATTGGGGATGTGTGATAGACCACATCGTTTGACAAGCCCAGTTGAAACCTTGTTTGTTATTTGTTCATCCACATTGATGACTTAGTATCTGAGGTTGCAATGCCATGAAAATGTTTGAACATTTACTCATGATTTTCTATGCATCACACGGATGTTCACATCTGCCAGCTATTCCCGGCTATCCAGTGGTTAGAATCAGCGGTGCGGAGCCATTAGGGTTCCGAATATTCCGTTGATATTTCCCATTAAACATCATGAAACAAGGAGTCCTTCGGAGCTACTTCGACTGTCCGAAGCACGTGATTCAATGTAGTGCTTTCAGAAGACTCTGACTGTCGCATGGGACTGTGAAAAAACAGGTCAAAATACAGGGCTATTTGATGGTCGCCGGTGAGATGAGATGGGAACTTCTGTATCACGATCATCCCAGGTAGGACCATTGGTGTTGCACAAAAAACAAACCAATGTTTCAACACAGTGAGATGTTTTTTTGTAGGTACCCTCTTGTTATTTAACATAGCCATGGTATAGATGGCCCATAGAAATAGATGATTTTCCCGTTCAAACCTCCATTTATGGTTGGGATTTTCCATGGCTATGTTAGTCATAACCAGATGGTATCTAAACCATTCTTTTTCGCCATCCGGGGACCATTGAGGAGACGTGATTTCAGAGAACCCGTTCTGGTTGATCGCTGCACTACTCTTGGGGATTGCATTTTGGCATTCCACCCTGGCCAGAGGCAGGCTCTCATCGCGCAGCCAGATTTTTATAGGATACCACTGATTTTTTGACAGATGGCAACAGAGTTCACAACCACTTAAGTGGTAAATGATACACGCGGGGTAGCCGGGCTGCTTGTAATCCAGGAGTCCTAGCCGCATCCGGTCATAAAACGTGGGAAGATTCCACGATTTGTCCATTGCCAACAACGGGTCTTGGTAGGGACACTAGTATAGTTTTGGAGGGTTTCTTCGTGCAGAAGTAGAGAGAAATTTGGGACCAGTTCCGTTTTACCAATAATTTGGGCATGTTGCAGTTTGATGTTCTACTTCTGAATTTAGCTAGTGACACAGAAATAAATCATTATTATATATTCATGATCTTAAAGTGCTTTCATTGACAGATATCCACGATCATCCGTATCATACAGTCCCACTGGCCAGGGGTTCGCTTGTTCCAGGGCGAGCCAAGCTACGACATTCCTTTTGCCTATTTGGGAGTTGTTTTTAATGGTGGATCCCCAAGTCACCATGGGTTTCAATACTAAAATGGTCTAATTTAGGATGATTTGGGGGTACCTCCATTTTAGGAAACTTCCAACCTATTGACGTCATGGCCGAGAAAATAATATGAGGAAAAGAAGCAGCCATGCTTAGCAAACCAGTCAGGCATGTGGTTTTTCAGCCTGGAACCTCTGCCGGACTGAGTCCTACTTAGTAGTCCTTCTTTTCTTTCGATGGAACAGGTACCTTCTGCGTTTTGTTTTCGTGGTGTCTACTTTTCCAATCAAAGTGACATACGGAAGAATTGTGATCTAATTTATACTCCATTCTCAAATATCTCAAATTCAATTCCCTCTTACCAAACCTCCTGGTTTGGAATTACCCTCTAGTTATTTAACATAGCTATAGAAAATCACCATGCTATGAATAGTTCGGTAAACCATCTATTTCTATGGGCCATGGCTTAACCATGGTTATGTTGAATAACCAGAGGGTAGATCCATTCATTCTTGGGTCTCTTTGAAGGGTCTTCGGGCGATGGGGATTTCACCAGGTCTTCAGATCTTGGCGAAATGCTGTGGAAGGCCCCGTGGCTCGGGCTCTTTGGTAAAAGAGCGCGATGGGGGGAAATTCCAATGGTTAACAATGGTTAATGGCCATTGATATGGGTTAACAATGGTTAGTAATGGTTAATAATTAATGGTGCTTTTTTTTATGGGATTAACAAAAAAGGTGGTGCCCCAGTGAGCGATTCATCGCTAAGTTGGTTTATGATTCCAATAACTATGCTTTATGGTAGATATATTGACATACTTACTATGGTTATAAACCAACAAACCTAAGTGGGGGGCACCACCTCGCAAAGATTTTTGTCAAAAAAACGGTGTGTTTGGGTGAACTTTGAGAATTCTTCAGAACAGAATGACATCCAGAACAGTGTGTATATGGGTATGGATCAATACCTATTAATACCATTTTTAGGGGGATGAACATCCATTTACCAGCTATTTTGATGTGAACAGAAGGGGTACAAGGTTTTGACACACTGCCATATAGTTTCTGGGATGATTCCAAACGGTTCTGTTGTTTTTCTGTGTCCCTCTATTTCCGAAAAAAACTCGAGACTGCGACTCACCAGCACAGAAAAAGAATTTGCGCCCAATGTGACACCTCAAAGTAGAAAGTAATGTGTAATGTGAAATGTGATGTAGGGCAGTAAACCCAATCATAAACCCTTAATCTTGGATGGTTTATTGTACAACCCGTTTAAGATAGTTTAAGGTTTGTTCTCCTCTTCCCAGCGTCAGGTGCGGACGAAGTGATTCCCAGACAGGTCGGGGTGCTGGAAAACGAAGATGCATCGACTAAAAATTGGGAACTCCGTACCTGTAGTGGGTCCATATTTTTATGCAACAATGATTATGTGGGATTCATAGAATTGGATGATGGGAAAATTTACCATAGAAAACCCCAAAAATTTGATGGTCAAAAACCCATGGGAACTCCGGTGAAGATTTTCCGTTTTACCAATCCATCGAGGGATATGATCGGTATCCCATGGGATATGTTGGGATGTTCCTCCAGGTGATCTTTCAGGGGCTTCACAGCAAGCCCTTCATGGTTTTCTGAATGATGTCCAATCTTGGGCGGACAAGAATGCGACTGGGCAAAGGTTCATTTCGGAGGGCGGATTTTTTGGTGTATCCGGCTGATTATCCTGGAAAGGGTACTACATTTTGCAGAAAGGGAATTTGTTTTTCAGTATGTTCCATATATTCTGATACATAGTAAGGGTATTCCATATAGTAAGGTTATATGATCCATTACTATATATATATATATATGTAATCCAGAAACTATAGCTTGAAACAGTGGCGATTTATGTGGCTTCCCATGGCCATGGAGTCCTCATGGCCGATTACTGGGGGTGTCATTGCGATTCATTTCTCACACCGTGCCGTTGCCGTTGCCGTGCCGTACCTGGCCTGGTAATGACTGTTACAGTTTAAGCGACATAGAGAATGGCCCGGTCGAAATAGTGGATTTAGTGGATTTAGCCATTGATAAAATGGTGGATTTTTCCAGTTCGTTATGTAAACGTTTACTCTAGAGGGTAGATATGAAGATCCTAAAAAAGGACTTTCTATAGAGCTACGATGATCCACATGGCCTAGAACTTCACTTCACAGGACGATCCGAAAACACCCGCTGGACCTGCGAGGCTGGAATGTCGGTCAGTTGCTGCTCCCAACGTTACGACCTGGTGGTTTTCGTTCTTCTGCTGCAAATTGTCCCTTGGCAAAATGGATCCAAGTGGCAATTGATCAAGTATCGGCTGCTGGGTGGACTCAGGTGATTTTCGGTGTGTGATTTTCATAGGTACAACCAGGGTATGAACCTGAGTTGGGATATGACATGATATAATTATATGATATGTTTTTTTGAATACATACAGCTGTTATATATATATAGATAGATATATATATATATATACTATGTATACATTTATATATTATATTATATCCACTTATAACTGGAAGTGCATCCCCAAGCGGGATGCTTCCAACAGGATGTCATTTTAGTTATTTTTGGGTGCCCCAAATCATCAGTCATGGATGACCAGTTAGTAATATTTAGTATAAATGGGTCTTGGGGATTCCCATTTTATGACTTGGTTTCAATACTTAATGACTAGATGAAGCATTTGAAACCTATGGTGACTTGGGGATCCCCCATTTTAAGAAACCCACGTGGTATAAATGGGACTGGCTGGTTTCGAATATGTTGATTTTCCTACCTACCTGGAAATGATGGGGTGGGATCGGTTAAAATCAACGAGAAATTGGTAGGCAACTCCGCATGTCTTGTTCAAGTTGCTCAGAGCCCTGACTTTCCTCAAACGGCTTTTATGCCATGTGCAAACCCTACACTTTGGGATGGTAGTCGGAATACTCCTATGGCCTCTTGCTACTGTAGTTGACTTGGAGTTTGACTGAGCGAAACTTCGTTTTGTGGTCTTCGTAGGGGCCTTCCCTTACGACCCACACCTGTGACACAGCTCGAGGTGATCGGACCTTTTTGCACATGTTTTACCCATGGTAATTTGCATAGCTATGCAAAATGGCCTGTATAGATGATTTAAATCCCCCTTAAAGATGGTGGGTTTTCCAAAGCCTAAATTGGCAAAAGAGGTACAGAGGGAAGATGCACTTGACCATGCTGACCACTTCGGCCTTTTTGGCTTCATCCCCCCTGGTCGGCAGCATGGTAAGCTGGAAAATCCTTTCTCAAATGAGGGTTTAAAAGGGTTTTAATGGGAAAATGACCTACAGGATGGGGCCCCGCAGTTATAAGTTGGTTTATAAACCATTATAACCCCCATGAATACTATAGTTATATCTACCATAAACCATAGAATTCAGCCACTTATAAGGCAACTGAACGCTATCTTGGGGGCCCCATCCTGTATAAATGGTGGATTTTCCAGCTATCTGGGACAACACCAGAGGCTAATCAGGTAGTTCCCCACCAATTCCCGTGGCGTCTGGAGAATTCATTCCGGTAGGAATTTATGGCCAAAAAAAATAAAGAAACGGGATAAGCCGGATAAGTTATACAAACGATTTCAACCCTGTTTAGGAACTCTAACAAAACCTATATATCCCTGTATAACTTAACCAAACGGTTCCTATATACAAGCGGTTTCATGGGTATATAAAAACCTAGTTTTCGACCCGTAGGAGCGCTGGCATCCGCAGTGTTGGATGTACTGCTTCCATTCAATGATCCTGTATAGGAAACCCCAAAAAGATGCCGAAAAGTGTTTCCAGGATGGTATAGATGATAGATGCTATTTTCATCTATGTTCCAATATTTTCAAACTATTTTCAAGGTGTCCTACCTTTCGGCATTTTGGGTAGCAACTGGAAGATAGGTTGGGTATTTCCTCAGCCGCACTGCAGGCGCTCTTTGGTAATTTCCGCTGGACTGGCGGAGCAGTGTTTCTCCTCTTCTTAGCGAACTGGACTGCAGGGAAGGGAAGGGTTTGGACGGGGAAGCAACCAATGAAAAAAAAAGTGGGACTAGCTTTCACCAAAAAAGGTGGAAGACAACTGTAGGAAAGAACGATAAATAGTATATACTTGTCTAGAAGCAAGCACTTGGATTTTACAACTGTTGTGAGATGCATAAAATAGATCTGCGTTGTTTTTTTTTAATCAATGGTATCCAATTACCCTCTGGTAATCAAACATAGCAACGGAAAACCCCCTGTAAATGGGAACATGATCTGTTGATGGGAGATGTTCCATTGCTACTGTGTGGATGGTTGGGAAATCCTGCACCAGTTAATAGATGGGTCATATACCCTTATAATCTCATTATGTCCATTTATTTGACAGCGTTTCATGGTTGCCGCTAGTTTTCTTAACTGGTGCAGGATGGCTTGTCTATCCGCAGTATCCATGAAAATGATCTATTGAATCTATTGGTTACTTAAGATGATTTAACATCGCTATGGAGAATGGCCCATTCATAGAGAGAAAAATGATAATTTTCCCTGCCATACCACTATTGGTGATGATTGCCGAAAGGATTTGCCAGAGGCAGAAACACCTAGAGCAAGGATCGATGTTGACAGTCTGTGACAGTCTGATATCTTTCGCATTTTTACCTAGAGCATCCAAATGAGCGAATAAGTATTTATATAAGTATATATATTATATTATAATATATATATATATATATATATTTGTTTATTTATTTATATTCATTTATTTATACTGTAGATGTATCATATGTATCTAGATCCCTATTTTTATCATCACTTAAAATCCCTATCACTATGATGATTCCCCATGAATCATCATAGAATCCCCATGAATCGACGGAAAAATAAACCGTTTGGACTTGGGGGCTGCATGTCATCTCGGGACGGCTAGGAAGCCAGTTAGTGAGGTCAATAAATCCATTACCCTCTGGTGAACTAACATAGCAATGGAAGATGGTCATAGAAATAGTGCATTTTCCCATGAAAAATGGTGATTTTCCATTGCTATGTTAGTTCAACAGAGGGTATTCAAAAAAAAAATGCTTCTAAGATGGTTCTTAATTGGGCTGGTTGGTGGTGACTGGAACATGAATTTATTTTTTCCACATTTTGGGAATGTCATCATCCCAACTGACGAGCATATTTTTCAGAGGGTTTGAAACCACCAACCAGTAGGTGTCATTCCCCTAGATAGTTTCACTTTTTATGTTCCAAATGGGATACAGGCTCCAGACTCGAAGGGCCATGGTGACCATGGTGGGTGTTTGGTTCCTTTGTACCGGTACAACTGGGAAATTAAAGGAGCCGTGATTTTCAATATGTTTGGATGTTTATTGTGAATACTGCCTGATTTCCCTTAAATCAACAAGCAAGATATGTCGTCAAGTCGGTACAGCAGCTCGGCCCAGTTCGGTCCCAGTTCTGAAATGAACTGTCCAAAGTGATTAAAATGGATGGCTCAGTTCCAAGGAACAACCATTTTTTTCTGGAAGTATTTTTGGGTCTCCATTTTTGTTTGACCGTAAAACATGTTTAAAAAAAATCATAAAAAAATCTCATGTTCTCCACATTTATCTGCATCCACGAGCATCAAGACAGGTTATGCTGTTGCTCCTTCGACGTAGCACCTTGATGAGTCTCTCGACATGGATCAACTTGGCTCGGTTGCTTTACTTCACTATTCAATGGCCATTTCAGGAACCTAATAGTGGTTAATCATGGTTAATAGTGGTTCATAATGTTTGATAATGGTTCATCATTGGTATATAATCACTGGCCATTTCAGGAACCGAGTGATTGGAGGTACCTACCATATATAAGGCTTATTTTTCAGGACTATGTAAGGGGATATACCCCCAAAATATGGCCTGGAAAATGGTACAGTACCTCCATCTTAGGATCCTGGAATTCCAATTGAACTATGAACCCATTGGGTTTACGGTGATGAATTGGATGAATTGTTTCATTTCCAACTTTGTTTCGTGTCTCAGTGTCTCTATTGCAACCCATCAGATTCTGGTTGGTGGTTTGGAACATTTTTTAATTTTGCCATATATTGGGAATAATGATGCCAACTGACGAGCATATTTTTCAGAGGGGTTCAAACCGCCAACCAGTATTGTTCGCACCAAAAAAAGCAGAGGAGTGTGGACAAATAAAGCTGGACTCAACTGATTTCCGGCGTCGTATTGGTTGAGCAATTCAGACCTTACGTAATGCAGAAGCATGCAGAAGCAACAGAAGCAACTAAACGAATCTTATAGATTCATATAGTATCCGACAAGAATGGATATTGAAACCCATTTTGATGGCTTTTCAGACTTGAGAGGTCTTGCAAATTCACCTAAATGCGTCTCTTTAGTTGGAGCGGCATCTTCCAACCCCTTCTTAGAGGGGTGGCCAGCAGAAGCTTTTAGCTAAATCAAATTTAGATATATATGTTTAGTTGCTTACCATAGCGTTGCTAAAGCATGTTTCTTTGACCCAGTTGAACAATGTTGAACATATCTGAACATTGGAAGTGACGAAGGAATTGCAGTAAGATGTCTTCGCACTAAAACTTCTGGCAACATCATTGCAATGGACACCTTTTCCGACAAAAAGTCATCTGTGAATTTCAAAAAAATCCCCAAAAGTGATGCAGAAAAGCTTCTTTTTGTTGCAATTTGTCCGTCTTTTTGGGGGCTATAACTTTCTAGAAATTGCAAGCCTTAAATTGTTATGACTTGATGTGATTTTCCCAGTAAAAAACCAAGGTCTCGGTCGCTGGCGCGGACTCGCAGGCGGGGACTCGTTTTCCCAGTTCGCAATGGGATTTTAACGCTGGATCCCCAAGTCACCTGGTTGTTTCAATAGTAAAATTCTCTCGTGACTTGTATGATTTGGGGTACCCCATGACTTAGGAAACCCCCAAGTCTTTATAACTAAATTATATTTCCATATATTATATATAATATATATATATTATATTATATTATATATTATATATATACATTATATATATTATATATTATATATATTATATATGTTATATATTATATATTATATATATTATATATATTATATATATTATATATATTATATATATTATATATATTATATATATTATATATATATTATATATATTATATATATTATATATATTATATATATTATATATATTATATATATTATATATATTATATATATATATTATATATATTATTATATATATATTATATATATATTATATATTATATTATATATTATATTATATATTATATATTATATATTATATATATGTATATATTATATATTATATTATATATTATATATATATATATATTATATTATATATTTTATATATTATATATATATTATATTATATATATATTATATTATATATATATTATATTATATATATATATTATATATATTATATTATATATATTATATTATATATATATGTCCATATCTATAGATTGTTACAGAAAGTTCAAAGAACCAAATAGTTTGGGGGTGCAGTTGTCGTTGCCTTGTGGCTTTTCCGCCACGGGAAAACTTGTGACCCCAAAAGTTGGGAGATTTTTCACCCTTGTAACTATGAGTCCATACAGACACAACTAGAACCGGAGGATGTGACCGTGAATCCATTAAAATTATAGTAATAATTATATATACAGTAGGGATTTGTGATGGTTTGGGGGATGGTTTATTATTGTTTTAACCACGTTAGGGATTTATATTATCATTATGAGGATTCGCACTATTGAAAAGATGAGTGCGAGCAACGGCGTACTTCGTACTTATTACATGTTGCTGAAATATATCCGTGGATAGATCATGAATGTCCCAAAGAGTCCATTCCGCACCAATTATATAATGAAATTTTGCCAGAGCGCGGTGCCAATTGGAAAAGTCACAGAGTGTTTCCCAAGTCCCATCTGAGATTTCAGTGGAGCAAAAACAAATCTATATAAGACTTGTTCCTGTCACTTTGGGACCCTTCGGTAAACAATCATGGCCAACGAAAATTCAAATCCCATGGCAAATTCTCGTTCTCCAACGATCTTAAATCACCAACAACTTCAATGGGCATTTCAAGGAAACATTTGAGAATGACAGGGTTGCTCCAACATTCAGCAAATGAGAACCATTTCTAGGAGGGGTATATTGAGTAGATTGGTGATTTGACCAATTTGTCAACTTGACCTTTGGATTGTCCTTTTCTTTGACCCCAAACATCCCCAAAGTCAAAGATATTTGGGGCCAGTTCGACCAGTTTCGTTAGGTGTTCTTGAGAGCTTGCTCTTTGTGCTTGTGGCTACACTGCTGAATGCTGCCTCTCAGCTTTGAGCTATTGAGATGTGTTTTTTGAAGTGTTTTTGTTCCTGTGAAACACTGTGAAATTACGTGAGGTTCAGATTCTTTTTGCAAAAACACACAGAAAATTTCATAGAATCATAGAATGATGATTTTGTCACTGTGGGTGGATTCACTTAAGCTGCTCTCTGAGTGGCACCAGATCTTTACGACAGCCATGACCCCATCACATTCTGAGCGTCAGCCCAAGTAAGATCCAAAACTGTTTTTAATACGTCATGTGTTTTGATGGTATATATGTCTTATAAACATATAATAACATATATATATATGTGCACATCATGTAAACTTGGTGGCTCATCCCACTTAGTAAGTGGGTTACAACCCCAGTTATAAATGGGATAAGTGGGCCACCAAGTATGATGTTGCTTTTTTTAATGAGGATTCTCTTGGAGTCATCGATTGACCAACCTGTAGCCTTCAGCCAAGGCCTACTCAGCGATGGCTGGCTTGGGCGTATTGGTGATGGCTGTCCTCTTACAGCTCCGGAGCTGCAAAGTGTGCTGTGGGGGGGTATACCCTCTGGTAAACATACAAAAAGCTATTGAAAATGGCCATTTATAGTGGATTTTCCCATGAAAATTTGTGATTGTCCATAGTTATGTTAGTTTACCAGAGGGTACGTTAACATATTTCATTAACCATAGTAGCAAAGCTATAGATACAGTTACAGAAATAGTCTATTAGTTATGGATATCGTCGACTGTATCGTTGTAGATTTATTCATTACTTCTAAGTAGATAGATATCCCCCAGCACTTGTATACCCCATCACTTGGTAGATTATTCTACGAGGCGTATAACTTGGATAAATGATAAACACATATAAACCACTATAAATATATAAATGGTGGTTTAAATCCCATTAAACCACCATTAAACACTATATAAACCACTATAAATCATGGTGTCATGGTGTTTATGATTTTAACTCCCCATCACTTGGATAGTGGATCATCCCACCACCTTCTGCGCGGCAGAAACCACAAGGTTGATGTTGGCACGTCGTGAGTTACGTGCATGGCGGACTCTTCGAGGGGTGACTTGGCAGGATTGAAACACCAATATCGTGAGCTATCTGGTGGATGATTAGATGTGTGGTATTTCCATCATGTGTTGCTTGGTGGTTCATATGTAAATTAATATATATATATATATATATACATATAATTATATATACATATATTATACATATTTATATTATATACATATGTATATATTATGTATATATTATGTATATATTATGTATATATTATGTATATGTTATGTATATATTATGTATATATTATGTATATATTATGTATATATTATGTATATATTATGTATATATTATGTATATATTATGTATATATTATATATATATATATATTATGTGTATATATATATATACATGTGCGTGTGTTCCATGCCACCAGGAATTATGATGCCACCATTGGTTATACATATATGGGTTCAATCTACCAGCCAGACGGATAGCCAATCACGAGTGAAAGATTAGGCACCTGAAGATATGGAGAATCATGGCCAAATTTGCAATCAAAGCATCAGATTTCCAATATGTGAGGCGATTTAAGATCACTGTAAATGGGGGTCAAATGCATAGTCTGGAAAAGACTGTCATGATCTGTCATGTGTGAAGGCGATATGTTGGGAACCTTGTATAATGAATCTCCGGGTCTTGAGGGAGGACATGCAGATGGAACATGTGGTTTCAGCCTGTAGTTTAGTAAGTTTACGGTCAAACGCCATCGTTTGCCCGGACCGGGAAGGATCATCATCGTCATCATGATCATCATGATCATCATCATCATCATCGTCATCGTCATCATGATCATCATCATCATCATCATCATCAACCCCAACCTAAATGGTAATGATATGTATCTTTCAGGGGTCATGGGCAAGAATCTGGCATGTAATGAGGAGGAACAATCAGGATATCCCCCCACCCCCCCCCACAACCTAGATGGTAATGATATGTATCTTTCAGGCATCATGGGAAAGATGGTAATCTTAGTCATACAGGTAACTTGCTGTAGCATCTCCTAGCGTTTCTGTGAGTATTCCGGGCTACCGTCCCAAACGGCACAATCCCACCGCTGCGCGGGTGAGACGGGCCGCTCTGCTGGCATGAACCAATCCAACAAGAGCTCCAAGCCTTCATTCCCTGTGAGCCGCGATTGTATGTTACTGCGGCATGGCGAAGTGTCAATGTTGCCAATGAGCTTCAGATATGGATGAACATTGAATCAGCATGGATCAATTAATTTCTTGGTTGCTAAAACAGAATAGAGACCCCACATGGTATTATACGTATCTAACCATGGTAGAATTGCCATTCATCTATGATCAATATCCCAACATATATTGTCATAAATGGTCATCTTGTGCGGATCAACATCTATGGGTAGTTATCTTAAGATATATGTACATGTTGTGGCCTTTGGGCAAACAATGGTGTCAGCGCGAACGTTTACCAATACCTTCTACAGTATGAAACTGGCTGGTGGTTTTTAATGTCGTTATGTTCAACCATGTTTTGGATGATTATGCCCAATAGCCAATGTGTTTCAGAAGGGTTGAAACCGTCAATGTCCAGAGCTGATCCGCAGTCAAAAAAATGATTGGCGGGGTAGGTCAACATACTGTAGTTTGCCCCAGATTTGGATGGCATTAAAAAAGCTTAATTTTACCCTGGGTATAACTGTATATACAGTTTCAGCCCATGCCGAATGTAGCACACAAGCAAATTCAGAAGACCTTCGCAGCCAGAAAGAAGCGCTCAGCAGAGCAGAAGACGCCAGCAGCGGGCGGCGCTATGCCAGCAGAGCTGCGAGGCTACGTCCTGACGCAAGCCCTGAAGTCAGGTACGATGCTCTGCGCTGCTTTTAACACAGACAGGTGCTACAACGAGGATGCAAACTGCGAAGGGGCGCATCTGTGCGCAGTGGTCTTGCAGTCCGGCAGAGCTTGCGGAGGGAAGCATGCAGCTAAAGACTGCCGAGCAAGGCGGGCACTGACAGCAGAGCGCTTCCAGAAGATGCAACCAGCACCGACAACGGCCAAGGCGGAACTGGTCCAGCTTGGACCATTTTCTGCAGGCAATGGGGGTCAGTTCCTATGTGTGTGTATATATATATAATTATATATATATAATTATATATATATATACATACACAAACACCCGAAACTGCGGCGTTTCCACGTGTAAACGGACCAGCGAGGTTATCAAGTTGCCAATTAACATTGCTCCAAGCCACAGGTAAATGATAGTCAATTTAAAGGGGAAAATTGCATTTTTTTTCTACCACTTTCCTATACTTTCCTTGTGATCCACGGGCCAGGGAGCACCCATGTTGTTCGCACATGAAATCAGGTCACTTTGGGCTTGCACACGAGCCTGGTCATCGTCGTGGCCATTTGCATGTGGTACTCTGACCTCACCGAATGGATAGAAGGGAAAGCACCCGAACATGGAAAATTCACATAGCAATGGAAACCATGTCGTTTGTTTAGTTCGATGATTTGCCTTTTCTTGAAATGTTTGTTTTTCCGTAGCAAACGGTTAAATTACTTGAGGGTACTATAAGAGGCACAGGTTTTGTTTGGGCGTTTTTTTTTCTAAGCTGACAATGGGAAATCTTCGAGTTCTGTCTTAATAGGTTGGTGTTTCATATTCCCATCCATGTCTGTTTATAACACTTTAATCCATTTTATACCCTGTAAACCCGCAATGGCCAATCCCACATATTTGTAGAACCGTCACTTGAGGGGAATGACCATGTTCATGATTTTCGGTCAGATTAGTTCACTGCGAGGTAGTAACGTAAAGTATGCGTAGTAGTTGGCGCTCATGAGTAAACAAGGTGGGGGGATTGGAAGGAGAACACGCATCCAGGTGATTATAATTTCTCCTCATATTTCCCCTGAGTGTTTTTGAGCCGTGGTTCCCAACGCTCATATTCTGTTGACGTGTTTGTTCCACCTTGGAATGGGGTTCCGCAATAGTTCTTAGCACACAGGTACACCACAGAACAATTGAGGTTAAAAGATGTCAAAAGACAAATTCAAAATACTTCATGCCGAAAATCATACATTTTTCTTTGCCAAATGAGTTTCATGTTGGAGAATGTTGATCTTCCAGGTTCATTTCGATTTTCACGAGGTTTCTCTTGTTGATTCCTGCAAAAGACAAGTCTGGCACGTTGAAATGAACCCAGACAGGAGTTTGCATCCATGCCGCAGTTATTTTTGCGACTTTCCCGACATTGTTGCGGTTATTTATTCCCTGATTGGTCATGTCCAATTATTCTGCAACGGTCCTTTGTTTTGGATGTTGATCCTTTTTGAGTTGAGACCAGTGACCAACTCTGTTATTTTCCCATGTGTTTCGAGATGTAGAAGTCGCACCCACAAGGAAATCTGTATCAGATCCCCAGATTGCAATAATTCCATCCGAAGGCCGCTGTTCTCTCCTTATTTCTCCCCAGATTTTTGTTTTTTAGATCCCTTTCTTCAAGACCAAGGGATGATCTTTGCCTAAAACAGCTGGACAGCTGGGTTTTTTTCAAACCATGGTCTCCAGAGTCTCCATTTTCTGGCAGGTCCATGCAGGGCGGTAGCGGTTGGACTCCGGACTCGCGGGACTCCGACTCCAAGCAGATCACCGAAGAGTATCCCTTCTGCCATTTGAGGCGGACCGTTTTCCCCTCGGGCATCCGGGTGGTCGTTGCAAAAACATGGGATGTTGGAGATGGGATTTCGAGATATGAATCGGAATCGGAGATGTTAATGGGATGTTTTTGGGAATAATATTAATAATTGTTGTAACCAACAAGGATGATGGTATAATAAGTAGGGATATGATATGGGATAAAATGGGGACACATATGATCCAATTATATAATGTTTGTTTGGGATGTCACTCGCAACGAAAACTACAGAAGTAAGCAATTGGTACCGAAATCTGGTGTTCAATCCTACTTGCTGTACCTAGAATGACTACTTGGTGGCTCATCCCACTTAGTAAGTGGGTTCTAACCCCAGTTATAAGTGGATTAACCCTACTTATCCCATTGATAACTGGGGTTATAACCCACTTACTAAGTGGGATGAGCCACCAAGTAATCAATCATGGAAACCTCATTCCCTGCAACCAATCAGTAAAACCTACCTGCTGAACTCCTCGTTGCCGAATCTTTGCCATCTTCCGGGCCTCCGCAAACTTGTTTTGGTGCAGGATGGTGCCCCCCAGTGATGTGAACGTTGGTTTATAACCCCCATGAATACTATAGTTACCCTCTGGTAATTTCTTACATAGCGAACTGGAAAATGACCCCTAGAAATAGATGATGTACCTATTAAAAGTGATGATTTTCCATGGCTATGTTAGTCATAACCAAAGGGTATATCTACCATACACCGACTGGGGGCCGCATCCTGCGGCTCGAGCGTCAGGTGGCCCTTGGGAAAGACTGGAACACAGGAGCCGTTTCGGGCCCACAGCCTGGCCCTTTTTAAACAGCCCTTTTGACAAAATCCTCTGGTAATTTGTTACACAACTATGGTATAGATGGCCCTAATCGAAATAGTTGATTATGTTGATTTAGCTATTATATAATTTATTTTAATAAATGGTGATGTTCAATGGCTATGTAAACGTTTACCAGAGGGTACCTGTTGTTTCATGTTGCGTGATGATTAGTTCGGGGTTCCCGGTGTCATCAAACATGCTTTCCGGCTGAAAAAAAACGCCATGAAGGTTCTAGCACAAGGTTTTTGCAGCAAGCCATGGTGGATGAGCAGAGGGTATACTACCCTATATATGGGGATTTAAACCATGGCTGATTATGGATTATGTATTCTTTTTCAGCAAGCCATGGTTGATTATATTAAGGATTATGGATATATTGGGATTTATCATAATCCATATTCATCCATATTCATCCATGAAATAGAATGACAGAGAGTTTCAAACAGTGCTCACATATTATTGGTCATGTTTGAAATACCAGGTGATGCCCCAGATTCTTAGCCAAGTTGGTAAACATAACGCTACGGGTATGGTAACTAGAGTTCACCAGGGTTAGAAACCAGTTATAACTTGGGGGCAACACCTGGTACCCAACTTTGACCCATACATAGCTGTACCCAAATTTTGACCATCTGAAGGATTCCGGTCGATTCCGGATGTGAAATTCATCCAGAAATGGTGACATGTTCAATTGACCCTATGGATCCAAACACTGTCTGAGAAGGTACCGCTAACCCCCAAAATCATACCCCAAGTACTTCCTAAGAAGGTACGGCTGGATCCATAGGGTGAAATAAATCATGTTGATTTTCGATGGTGACATGTTCAATTTTTCACACTTGAGGAATCAAAAAAAAGAATTGAGTTTATCACTTTGAAGAGTCAAGTCGAAATTCCCCGATTGAGCTGGAGAAGCTCGACTCATGCTTCATCGATTTAAACTTCCTTAGGAAACATAGTAGTTTTCCAAGCGAGTGCCAAGCCTTAGATTCAAGAGGGATGACGAATCAAACCTCCTTTGGTTGATTTTTTCCGTTTGGGGATTATGGTATTTATCACAATCAAAATCATCAATCCATGATGGAAATCCCGTTCTTAATCAGTATTTCAATATATTTCCATATATTTCAATATATACCCTCTGGTTATTTAACATAGCCATGGAAAATCACCATTTTTTAAGTTCGGTAAACCATCTATAAATGGGCTATGGCTTCCATGGCTATGCAACAAATAACCAGAGGGTATAGTTCAATGTATTTCATGGAATGACATGGGAAACTTGACATCAACCAACCAGCCCATGGGCCCATCATTCCATGGTCCGAAGTTCGAGGAGATGTCCTTGATGGACTTCGCTGATATGTGCGCATTGACCAATCTGGACAGCGCCGATTTCAACTCATCATTGCAGTTGCCTGGACCGAAAAAATGCTTGCAGGGTCTCATATCAAACTATATCAGACTTCGGATGTTTTCTGATGTTTTCTGATGTTTTCTGATAAACTTTGGATAGTGGCACCGGATCACTGGTTTGGTCGATACAAAAACCACCATATTTTGCCATATTGGGGGAGCCGTGAGGTGACTTCAGCCCCACCCTGCTGGTCGGGATGTCCAATGGTCCAAGGTAGGGTCCCAGAGCTTTTTTTGAGGCCCCGAAGATGGTACCGCGAAATGGGGAAAAGGATGATCAACTAGAAATAAAATGCAATAACTGATATTCCGTTGGATTTTGACGTACCATATGTACCCAAAAAAATCACATGGTCTTTTTCTGACACCTATGGCACCCATTTTTCTGTGGCTAAGAGCCACAGTTGTTCCCGTGTCGTGCTTGTTTCATGGTTCTTCCGTGAACCTTCAATGGCACAAGTATTACTCCAAGTAGCAGCCTTGGTAGCTGGTAGGTAATACGCTGATACTGCAAGTAATTAGGTGTGCAGTTTACTCATGATGGTACAATTTCAGTTCCCAAGAACTTTTGTAGATTGTCATCGAACTATGTTATTAGTCCCATCGCCCACATATTGAACCCCTTAAACGGTCCCGAAGCTGTAAATCCCCTACCAAACCATATAGTTTCTGGAGGGTTTTTTTAACATGAACGGGGGGAAGGGATTCGCCAGGGTTGTTTGGGTTGTCTGGGGAGTCTGTCAATTTCGATCATCCCAAACTGAAAGATCCAGGAGCTATCCATGAACTGATTCAGAGCACCAAAAGGAACTTCAAAATCCCAGCATCAGGAACTATTCTGAGGACTTCAGGTATTAACCATTGTTATTATATATATATATATGTATATTTAATAATATTGTTATTATCATTATCATTATCATTATTATTGTTATCTTTATTATCTTTATTATTCACCCTTTCTCTGCCTACCGTTGCACACTTGAAGTCACTCTTTTTCAATGTTCCCGGCTCTCTTTTTCAATGTTCCCGGCTCCACCCTTGAAGCTTCCCCTACCCAACAAAAATATATACACTTGCTCTTTTCAATACGGCCTTCCTATAATACACCACAACCCATAGGATCCATGCATGGTATATATGCTAACATTGGGGGTATATTGATGCTAAATGTTACCACATATAGCATACATGGATCCTATGGGTAACTGTCGTTTCTGAGGTCCCGTTTCCCTGGCTGGACATTGGAATACGAACACCGCGCTGGAGAGACGCACGTCTATGGCTCCTTGGAACATCTTTGCTAAAAGTATCTAAAAATTACTAGCAATGAGGTTTCTGAATGATATTATATATATATATATATTATGATGTTATCCATCATTTATCCTCTTTTTTGTACAGTCAGTGGTTTAAACACTTTAAGAGACTATGTTTTACACTGCTTTAGATTTATAAATTGTAGTAATCTATGACTGTATCCCATGATTTGAAAAAAATCAGGAAAATCTATGAGTTATTCAATTACCAATGTTTGACCCATTTAACCCATTTGATTGCCAATGTTTGATTAATGAGCTATCAGTTGCCAATCTTATATTTTTTTGCGGGATCGGTTTAAACACTAAAGAAGTATGGAGTAGAATTGAAAGATGTTGATCGTTTAACTTTGGTTGATCATTAGTTCAAGGATTATATATATATATATATATGTATTAGTCAATTGTCAATATATCTTAATATATTGGTGAATAGTGGGGATGATCATGATCTATAAACCTGGATCAAGCTTATTGGTGAATAGTGGGGATGATCATGATCTATAAACCTGGATCAAGCTTGAGGCAGGCGAAGCCTGCAGGATTGGCGCCCCCAAACTCTGAGATCTCCTGCAGCTAGTTCAAGGAAGTAGAACACAACAGACTGAAGAAGAAAGGAAAATAAATTAGATAGAGAAAAGATAGCAACACAAACAACTAGGAACAACGATAGTTACATACATACATACCATACAATACCACAGATAGGTAGGTAGATATTCTCCTTTCATCCAGACTCTTGGACTTTACATCGTCAAATCACACCAAGCGCGACATCCGAAAATCACTGGCCATCGATACTCCAATCTTGGACAAAGCACGGTGGCAAAAAACAGCCACGGATGTTTGCGACAGACTGGATGGGTGATAAATGATTTTCAGAGTTTCAGGGATGACTGATTTAAGGGCCTAAACGTTTGTCCGGTCTATGTTTTTTATTTTGTTGGCGTTTCACCCCGCCCAAGGGTCAAGACTTTGAACCCTTGCAGAAATTTCTGGCCCTGGCTACTCTAGTTCTTGCCAGCCATATTGTCTTGCTAAGTAGGACGAAGCGTTAGACAAAAGGCACTGTAAATCATGGGATGGTCAGTAAGAGAGATGACAAAAAGGGGCCTACCAAAGACTTCGAAAATTCCAATATATTCCAATGCTCACCAGTATTTGGAGGGGTTTAGAGTGGTGATCTAACCACCTGTAATTTGTATCCCATGCTCATTTTTGACGGTCGAAGAAATTGCGGTTACCTGGTTACACGAGGGTAAACAATTATAGATATGGAAAACCAATGGTTTTCCTCGAAAATGATCTACAATCTACAAATTGTGATTTTTCATGGTTTCTCCACATCTATCTTAGTTTGCCCTAGAGTTGGGTCTCCTTTGGCCAAGCTCTTGATCCAAAAAACAGATTTGTTTTTTCTAATCAGGTCATTCAATGTCCAAAGTTCGTTCAGGTACATAATCTACATATAAATACGTATGTAATCGTATATATATACATAGATGTGTTACATACATACACGATGCATATGCGTATGTTGCCAATTGCATCCCACTTGTTTTGGTGATGCTCCCCTCCATCCTAGATTTGTGTTGTATAGTTGTTTTCTACACCATAGGTACAATATGGACATTTGCACGATATGTATTTCTCTATCTAGATATAGATACTATATATATATATATATTCATTATACATAATCTAGTTTCACATGCATAAGACATGTATTGTTTATCTATATATATATACATCATATGATATATACATCAAATTAAATATATACATCATATTATATATGATATATATATTTATATAATTATATATATATATATATACGCGCAACGCCTGGGTTTTGCCCAGGCGTTGCAGCGTAGAGGTTTCCCATTCACAAACAAATGATGTTGCAAATTACCGTAATTCCTATGGGGAAAATAACTAAGGTACTAGGGACTATTAAACAAACAAGGTCAAAACACCCGAAATTCCTATGGGAAAAACAAAAACGGCATAACATTTGAAATTCCTATGGGAAAACAACAAAGGTACTAGGAAATTTTAAACTCTCAAATCGTGAAACTTAACATTCAATTAGGAAGATCAACAAAGATATTAGGAAATATTAAACTCCCACCCCCGTTAAACCTTAAATTCCTATAGGGAAAACAACAAAGGTACTAGGGACTATATTAAAAAAATGTCAAAACACCGGAAATTCCTATGGGAAAAACATAACCGGTATTAGGGAATATTAAACTCCCACCCCCGTTAAACTTTACATTCAATTGGGAAGATCAACAAAGATATTAGGGAATATTAAACTCCCACCCCCGTTAAACTTCTACATTCATTGAAGATCTCCAATAAGGGTTTAATTCTCCCACCCCCGTTAAACTTCTACATTCATTGAAGATCTTCAATAAGGGTTTAATTCTCCCACCCCCGTTAAACTTTCTACATTCATTGAAGATCTTCAATAAGGGTTTAATTCTCCCACCCGTGAAACTTCGACATTCATTGAAGATCTTCAATAAGGGTTTAATTCTCCCACCCCCGTTCAACTTCTACATTCACTGAAGATCTTCAATAAGGGTTTAATTCTCCCACCCCCGTTCAACTTCTACATTCACTGAAGATCTTCAATAAGGGTTTAATTCTCCCACCCCCGTTAAACTTCTACATTCATTGAAGATCTTGAATAAGGGTTTAATTCTCCCACCCCCGTTAAACTTCTACATTCATTGGAGATCTCCAATAAGGGTTTAATTCTCCCACCCCCGTTAAACTTCTACATTCATTGAAGATCTTCAATAAGGCTTTAATTCTCCCACCCCCGTTAAACTTCTACGTTCATTGAAGATCTCCAATAAGGGTTTAATTCTCCCATCCCCTTTTCAACTTCTACATTCATTGAAGATATTCGATAAGGGTTTAATTCTTCCACCCCCGTTAAACTTCTACATTCATTTAAGATCTCCAATAAGGGTTAAATTCTCCCACCCCCGTTAAACTTTACATTCAATTGGGAAGATCAACAAAGATATTAGGGAATATTAAACTCCCACCCCCGTTAAACTTCTACATTCATTGAAGATCTTCAATAAGGGTTTAATTCTCCCACCCCCGTTAAACTTGTACATTCATTGAAGATCTTCAATAAGGGTTTAATTCTCCCACCCCTTTTTAAACTTCTACATTCATTGAAGATCTTCAATAAGGGTTTAATTCTCCCACCCCCGTTAAACTTCTACAATCATTGAAGATCTTCAATAAGGGTTTAATTCTCCCACCCCCCTTTAAACTTCTACATTCATTGAAGATTTCCAATAAGGGTTTAATTCTCCCACCCCCGTTAAACTTCTACATTCATTGAAGATCTTCGATAAGGGTTTAATTCTCCCAATATTTCTCCCACCCCCGTTAAACTTCTACATTCATTGAAGATCTTCAATAAGGCTTTAAGTCTCCCACCCTCGTTAAACTCCTAATTTCATTGAAGATCTTCGATGAGGGTTTAATTCTCCCACCCCCGTTAAACTTCTACATTCATTGAAGATCTTGAATAAGGGTTTAATTCTCCCACCCCCGTTAAACTTCTACATTCATTGAAGATCGTCAATAAGGGTTTGATGATGTTGATGATGATGATGATGATGTTGATGACCATGATGTTGATGATGATGATGATGATGATGATGATGCGTCGCCCGTCGTCATTGCGGGCCCGGGCAAAACCCAGGCATTTGCCGTATATATATATATATATTTATATATATATATATTTATTTATTTATTTATTGTATATATGTTATATATACAATATGTTATTTATATACATGTTATATATATATTTTTTATGTGTGTATATTTACATATTATATATATATAAATATTATTATATGCAACGCCCGTCGTCCCTCTTGCGCTGGAGGCTACAACGACTGGACCACGTTCTTTGAGCTGGCAGATCCCAGCAGCTCGACAGAGCTGGACAGTGACATGTTGGGCATAGATTTAAAGAAAGACGGCGGGACTCTTTGCCAACGCCATGTCCTCGTTGGAAAACGAATTCATGGGATACAATGGGATAGTAAAAGATGGGGATTCAACATGATTCAACGATCAATGATGGAAAAAGATCTGCAATATACTCGGATATCATGGGATATAAAGATACGGTGGATGGTTGCGAAATCCTGCGCCACCAATTTGGGATGGTTGAAACCCAAACAAAATAATGGGATGTTTACCACCGTTTTCAACTGGTGATTCGGATTTCTCAACCATCCACAGTATGTAAGGGGATATATAATGGGATGTTTTTGGATATATCATGGGATCTAATGATTATATGGTGATATATCAGGGTAAATTATATGATTATGTAGTATAATTAATGGTGATGTAGTTTAATTTACCATGATTATATGGAGATATATAATAGGATGTAATCAGGGTAAATTTCATCCCGACCGAACCCTGTTCTCAACCGAAGCCTGGTTTATCATGGTTGGGGAAATCATCCCCAAATAGCTGGCCGAACGAATTTCAGGTGAGTGAAATATTACAAAACTTTCCCAGATATATAGTGATTCAATGGGATATAATGGGAATATAATGGGATATTCATGAATCACTATATGATTGTATATGTGTGTTCAACATACACAGATATATATATATATATTTATATTTACACGTCTCTTTGGCACATTAATATATATATATATTAATATAATATATACATATGTGATGGGTGATTTCAGTAAGATGGGTTTGTTCCCGAGAGCGTCTGAGCGCAGGGTTCTTCCAATAGTGGGGGTCTGTAAAACATCTTCTCATCTTCACATCTCATCTTCACATCTCATCTTCACATCCTCTCATCTTCACATCTCATCTTCACATCCTCTCATCTTCACATCTTTTCATCTTTACATCCTCTCATCTTCACATCCTCTCATCTTCACATCTTTTCATCTTTACATCCTCTCATCTTCACATCCTCTCATCTTCACATCCTCTCATCTTCACATCTTTTCATCTTTACATCCTCTCATCTTCACATCCTCTCATCTTCACATCTGCTCATCTTCACATCCTCTCATCTTCACATCTGCTCATCTTCACACCTTCTCATCTTCACATCTGCTCATCTTCACACCTTCTCATCTTCACATCTGCTCATCTTCACATCTGCTCATCTTCACATCTGCTCATCTTCACATCTGCTCATCTTCACATCTGCTCATCTTCACACCTGCTCATCTTCACACCTGCTCATCTTCACACCTGCTCATCTTCACATCTGCTCATCTTCACATCTGCTCATCTTCACATCTGCTCATCTTCACATCTGCTCATCTTCACACCTTCCCATCTTCACATCTTCTCACGCTCGCTCTCACGCCTTCATTTTTTCTTGCTCTCTAAGGCCGATGGTGGGGCCGGCGGCGAGTCACGAACGTCAACCTTTCGCCAACGGAATGAGGGTCGATCTTCAAAACTGAGTAAAATTTGCGATTTGAGACTTGTCTGGAGCAACCTTGCGCACGAAATGAGGGTCGATCGGCAAAACTGAGGTAAAATTGCCCGATTTGACTTGTGCCGGAGCAACCCTTTTTCGCACGAATTTGAAAAAAAAGGGTCGATCCGGCAAAACTGAGGTAAAATTGCGTTTCAACTTGTCCGCCAGGCGCGACCCTTTCGCACAAATGCAGGTTCCCGATCGGCAAAACAATGAGTAAAATTGCGATTTGAAAACTTTCCCCGGAGGCAAACCCTTTCGCAACGAAATGAGGGTCGAAATGGCAAAACTGAGGTAACCTTTGCGATTGAACTTGTCAATGGAGCAAAACCCTTTTCTCGCACAAGTGAGGGTCGATCGCAAAACTGATGAAAATTTGGATTTGACCGTTGTGCCGGAGCAACCCTTCGCACGAAATTAGGGTCGATCTGCAAAAAACTGGGGAGGTAAAATTGCGATTCCACTTGTCCTGGGGCGCGCCCCTTTCGCACGAAACTGAGGGTCGATCGGCAAAACTGAGTTAAAATTGCGATTTTTCGTGCGCGGAGGAACCCGTTTCGCACGAATGAGGGTTCGATCGCAGGAAAAAAAAAAAAAAAAAAAAAAAAACCCCCCGCAAAAAAAACTGAGGTAAAAATTGCGATTTGTTTTTCTTCCGGTGTGCCGGAGCAACCCTGTTCGCACGAAATGAGGGTCGAGTCGGTAAGAAAACTGAGGTAAAAATTTGCGATTTTTCCTGTGCCGGGAGCAACCCTTTTCGTCTGTGTGGTAGCCTCTGTGTGTAAATGTGTTTGTGTGTCAAAGCGTCTGTGTAAAAAGCGTCTGTGTGTAAAAAGCGTCTGTGTGTAAAAGCGTCTGTGTGTAAATGTGTTTGTGTGTCGAAGCGTCTGTGTGTAAAAAGTGTCTGTGTGTAAAAAGCGTCTGTGTGTAAAAGTGCCTGTGTGTAAAGGCGTCTGTGTGTAAAAGGGTCTGTGTGTAAAAGCGTCTGTGTGTAAAAGCGTCTGTGTGTCAAAGCGTTTGTGTGTAAAAAGCGTCTATGTGTAAAAAGCGTCTGTGTGTAAAAGTGTTTGTGTGTAACAGTGTTTCTGTGTAAAAGTGCCTGTGTGTAAAAGCGTCTATGTGTAAAAGCTTCTGTGTGTACAAGCGTTTGTGTGTAAATGTAAAAGCAGCTCCTGTGTGTAAAAGGGTCTGTGTGTAAAAGTGTCTGTGTGTAAACGTGTCTGTGTGTAAAAGTTTGTGTGTAAAAGCGTCTGTGTGTAAAAGTGTTTGTATGTAAAAGCTTCTGTGTGTAAAAGCTTCTGTATGTAAAAGCTTCTGTGTGTAAAAGCTTCTGTGGGTAAAAGCTTTGTGTGTAAAAGCGTCAGTGTAAAAGCATCTGTGTGTAAAAGTGTTTGCGATGCAAACTATTGTCTTGCACTTCTCACTATTTTGTCTTGATGTTCCTCTTCTCGACTGCCTATAACACAGCTTTCATATATCGTTTCTAATATTGCGTCTCCATACTAACAAGAGAAGACCCTGCTCCTCTACGCTCTCGGGCCATCCGTCGTCTAGTTTGAATTTGTTTGAGCATCGGGTACCTCAAAATCCAGTGGCTCTCTGACAATTGAAAATAGCTATCGAAAAGAAGCATGTTCAATAGCTAAATCATGGAGCTCAATAGGCCATTTAACAAAGGCAAATCCATAGTTTTATAGATGATATATCCAGTATATATCCCATATGTTTATATAGTATGTATCATAAATATATATATATATATGTATATATATCATATATATATATATATCATATATATATATATATATATATATCATATATTTATATATATCATATATTTATATATACACATCATATATCACATATACATATATCCCATATTATCCCAGTATTATATTAGAATTTAACAATCAAAGCCTGGTCGCCACAGATCCACGTGAGAGGCAACGAGACGACCATCTTTGCCATTCGAGGGACGCAGAGTCCGCTGGATGTCATGCAAGATTTGAGCCTCGAACGGGTATGGATGATATGGGAATAGGACCTTATCAGAAGATCAACCAAGTTTCGTAGGTACCCTCTGGTAAACTAACATAGCTATTGAAAATGGCCATGTATAGTGGATTTACCTATTAAAAATGACCATTTTCCATAGTTACGTTAGTTTACCAGAGGGTAAATAGTAAATATACCATACATGGAGCATATGGGATGGATGCTTCTAGACATACTGTGGTTGCGAAATCCGAATCACCTTGATGGTAAACATCCCATTATTTTGTCATGGGTTTCAATTTCAACCATCCCAAATTGGTGGTGCAGGAATTCGAAACCATCCATGGTATGGGATAAGAACTAGGTCAACCTTGGATGGGTACCAAAAAATCCTTTAATTTTTTGCTATAAATAGAAATATCTACTAACCAGCCAAGTTTTTTTTGCAGGGTATCTAAGATTGGCAATGAGAATAGGATCATATGGGATATATGAGTTGTTGATATGTCCAATCGTTTTGGATCTGTAATGATTGAAATGGGAATTGGATTTGAATGGGGATATTGTTTTATGTGGATATAATGGGAAATGAGATATAGTTGGACATATAAGCAACCACCATCATGATATTTGGGTGTGATTGAAAATCGGCTAGCACATGAGGTATATCCCATAGTGTTGACAATTTGAATAGTGAAATGCGTGATTAAACAGCGAATTATCACTACTGTATTGAATGAAACAATCCCTGGAAGTCAACTGACTCATTTCACCTACCATAGAAAATGGTATTCCGAGGAGCTGCGTCAGTGGGATTTTCTGGGGATGGAAGGATTCACTACACTAGAAACATGATTGTCAACTGCTGGTTTCCATAAATAGGGGATCCCTGAAATGGTTGGTTTACAATGGGATAATTTGGGGGTACCCCCATTTTAGGAAACCTCCAGCTATATTTGAAAAATTCCAAGATCAGAAATATTGGCAAGAAACAGCACAAGGTCGTTTGGGTACCGTTGCATTAAAAGATAGCGCTTCTGCTTTTGAACGCTCCTGAGTCCAGAGATAATATCAGCAAAACAACCGCATTGCTCGATGAGCTTATCTCCATCATAGGGACGCCTTCATATATGCTCGTGTTTACTCAGTTTCTGCGGGAAATCGAGGTAGCCTGCCACTGGATCCATACGAGCCAAACAGGGCACCCACATGACCTGTTAGATGATGACTCATTGCAGAACTACAAGTCGACAGACTTCAGGGCCGTGCGGGCATCTATGAGCATTGGGTTCAATTCACGCGTTGCTTTATGTTAAAAATTTATAGCGTGTATGTGTATATGATATAATACATAATTATATATACAATACTGTAATCCATATGTATATATATATATGTATATATATACATATCTACTAGGGGAAGCCAGAATTGCTACGATCCACTATAGGTAAACTATTGCAATGACCTTGAGCTTTGGGAATTGTCAAACCGTCTACCACCAAGGCCACGGCCCTTGGACAGGTTGAAGCCATGGGATTTGTCAAAAATGGGCGATGCCTCGAGTTTTGCGACAACCCCGTAGCTATCCATAGGTATCCATAGGTACCCATAGGTATCCATAATAATCCATAGGTCTTTGACCTTCTTAAAGACCTTCTTTGACACCCTGAAAATGAGATCCCTTAGGATACCAACGCTGTGTTTTTGTCGTGTGTCTCCAGGAACATCTTTACTCCGGTGGCCGTGACTCAGATTGCGTCCTTTTTTGGAATCTCGACTCGAGGGTTTATTGTGGGGAAATGGGTTTTAATATGTTCCAATGATGGTATACTGAGGATATGACATTATAAGGTGCTGGCCCATACTTAAGTTGTCTTTTTAGTTCACTATCTTACTGTCCATTTTTTTAATTTATGGTGATTGAGGTTGATTAACCATGATTTTGAATCCGTTCCCCCTAATCAATCTTAAACACTCCCCAGAAACCATGGTTTACTAGATGAACTACACATGTATTAGGGACCATTTAGGAATATTTAAGGTGTGTTGAATATCAGGGGAGTGGATTCATGTACCATCATCATCATCAACAACAACAACATCATCAATATCAAATAAACCCAGTTCACTACCTGAAAATTTGCGTGAATGTAAATGTTGATACATAGTCTATAGATATGGGTTAAGTTGCCAGGCCAGTAGTAATATTCATTGACATCTGAGCAGTGTTCAAACCCCTGCGTCATCCCTTTGTACTGGTTTGTTGAGAATTGGATTCCCCGTTCATGGATTGTGATACTCCCCATTCATCATCAACCAACCATAATTTCTTGGCTATATCCACATACATCCGCATATATCCCATATTTTGATGCTAGAAATCCCCATTAATCATCTATGAATAAAATGGCGATGGTCAAAATCCCTATTAATCACCTATAAATAATCATCCAATTAAATAGTCCCTATGTTCAACAAAAAATATTAGTTGCTATGATTATTAGTCCCTTGTTTTTTCCCTTAAAATCCACCTTTATAATCATCAAGCAACCGGGGTTTAGGTCTCGCAGCCACTGCTCATGTCATTCACATCGTCATCTTCTCTAATCTTAGTATAGGGGCCCCCGAATAGATTGCACAAACGGTACAAGCACCAAGATGGCAGCAATGAAATTTCAACCTCATATGTTGGTTCAGTGTGTGCCATCTATCGGGTCACGACAACATGCAAAAAATCTGCTATTTGTAGCTATTTGCAAAAGCCATCTTAAGGGCACTAAACAAAATAATATATATATATATACATACATATATACATCTATATATATATATATATACATATACATATGACATGCAACACGTAACATGACTTATGAACAAGTTCAAGTATGCAAATATATATATATTATTATTAATTATTAATTATTAATTATTATTATTATCCCCGGAATATGGTGTGCCATCTTTGCAACCTAGAAATCTCTATACTTGTTGAACAGGTCAAGTGTACAAGTATCCCGTGGGTATGCCATCTGTAAACCCCTAAATCCTGTATACCCCGTTTTTGCGTTTTTTTGAGCTTAGATGGTATTTTTGATGTTTTTTAAAGATGCCAACTATTCGGGCCCCCCTGTAAAACATGTTTCAAACAATCTCATCAAGCACCCCAATAGTATAAACTAGTATAGACCATCCATATGTTGATGGATCCTATTGCTCTACCGTAAAATTCTGTCATGTTGCTTATTATCATATGTTATTGCTGTCATATGTCTATGGTCTGGTTGGTGGTTTGGAACATTTGGATTATTTTTCAATATATTGGAAATGTCATCATCCCCACTGACGAAATCATATTTTTCAGAGGGGCTGGCTCAATCACCAACCAGTTGTAAATATTCACCATCATAATAACCATTAATAATAGCCATTCATCTGAACCATTAATATTAACAGTATATTACCAACCAATGGTAGATAGGCTGAAACCACCAACCAGGACTGATTTTCCCACTTTGGGATGTGAAAAAAAATCAGGGCCTGATGGTGATTTTCCATAGTTATGTTAGTTTACCAGAGGGTAATCCCCACTGACTTTCATATTTTTCAGGTCCTACTGATTATGAATAATAATAACCCACGGATTTTTGGTACTATTTCATGGATAATACCCATGATTTGATCATGAATAGTAATAACCCACTGGATTTTTCAGAGGGGTTGGCTCAATCACCACCCAGTTATAATTATTCACCATCATAATAACCATTAATATTAACCATGAATAATAACAGTATATTACCAAGCAATGGTAGGTAGCTCAACCACCAAGCAGGACTGATTTGATGGATCCTACTGCTCTACCGAAAAACTAGCCTTGGACCTCCGTGAAGCCCGGAGGTCCAGATCTCACTTCCTCGGTGACGAAGACCGTCTTCAGTTTCTTTGCAGGGCTGCCGACCATCGACAAGGACGCTCCTCCTGTTGTGAACTATGGGGGGAAGCCGCCGGAATATAACAAGACATAGCAAAACATAGCAAGACATAGGGATTTTTAATGCATGTTCATGGTGTTTGACTATCAAAAACCATGGTATCTAAGTTGTTAAGTATTCATGGAGTTTAAGAAACAAACAGATTGAATAGGTTATATATATATATATTGGTTATATTTGGTTTTATAGTTATATGTAATAAATTTTTATATATACATATATATATACATATATTTGAATGTATTTGGTTTTGGCCAATGGTACCAGATAACTCTCTCTACACATCCTGATATTTTGTTCGACCTATGTGGTACTTTGGAAGAAAAACATCAAAAGAAACCAATGTCACAAGTGTTTATTCGTGTTTATGCCAAAGATGTTCAATGGTACTGATATGAATCCATCCACAACAACATATCAAGTTTGAAACATACATATGTATATGTAAGTTTTTCACTGGCGGCGAATTCATGTCACGTCGGATTCCGCCCCGGTTTTGCTCAAGGACTTCTTCGAAGTCTTGCTGAAACATGTTCGCGGGAAGGCGTGCCGCTGGTCACACTCTTGTCTTTGTGGCATCCCATCAAGCAAAAACCGCATTCCCCAAAAAGGAAAGTGGACTGGTATGTGCGGTTTGTTATTGTTTAAAAATTGGATGAAAATATATGAATGTCTCAAAAGACATCCAGATAATTGGATGAGCTATTCTGCCAGTGGAACTATCACAGTATCATGTTGCAAATGCTGCCCATGTCTTCTGCCAGTTTTGTGGTCATGTTTCAAGCCCTCGGCATTATTTTTTTTGCCAGGACGTACTATGTTTGGTTTGTTGCATATCTATATATTGTTTGTTAAGGTAGCATCCATGTCGGTTACCTTCTTGCCTTGTTCGTTCGGCTCCAAAGTTCTTCTTCCCGATGAATTTCTTTGAGTACTCCCAATGCCACTGGTGGTTGTTTGGGTTCTCATTGTTCATGTTTATCCTTTTCTGGCTGGTGGTTTGGAACATGAATTTTATGATTTTCCATATATTGGGAATGTCATAATCCCAACTGACGAACTTTTTTTTCAGAAGGGTTGGCTCAATCACCAACCAGTTATAATTATTCACCATCATAATAACCATTAATAATAACCATTCATATGAACCACTAATGTTAACAGTATATTACCAAGCAATGGTAGGTAGCTCAACCACCAAGCAGTTGTGTTTTGCCGTTGAAGAAACTGCTGACTAATAGATACTCAACATGGCCAGAACTGGAAAAAAAGGTCGGAAATTTTGGACCCAAAAAAATCATAAAAAATCCCCAGAGTCAGATTGTGCCATGGGTCATGTGAGTCCAATAGTCAAGTTATAAACCTCGGACGGCGAGTTTGGGTATGTCCTGTGATATCACCGCTTGGCAAATCTCTTCTGAAGAACCATTCATCCATGATTTGCAATGATTTTACCATTATTAACATGTATTAACCATCACAATACTATCCGTTGTGGACCATGATGAACCAGAAATGAATCACCATGATTTACCAACCATTCACCATGGATTTTTCAGCTGAGGGGCTGATCATTGATCCTCTGAAACGCGAACTTGCCTAGGTGAACAGTTCCCCTGATCGGCGGACGCCTGGCCCAAAAATCCGACCGGAACATCAGGGAACGATGTGAAATATGAAAAATACATTCAAGAAATTTGAAGGTGTGTATATATATATAAGTGAAGGTAGATTATGAAAATCTATATGACCAACTTCTGAAAATATGGTGACGATATTCTGACAATATGATGAAAATATGATGATAAATCATGTTAATATCATGAAAAAACAATGCATTCTTGGCGTTTTGGCCATTCGCGGAAGCCACGCATGTCTTTTGGACGCCACGCACTGCGTCTCACAGATCATCAATGGGTATGGATGGTCTTTGCGAATCCTTCTATGGTAAAGTATGGTAAGTTTTTTTTCTAGCACATGGACATTGTGGATGGTTTATCCTCGGGCATACCATATTCCATCCAGCGGTGAAAGTAGGGGAACCAGCAGGTCACGCCATGGAAACCCTTGAAGTTGTGATGATCTGGATCGATTCTAGCCATACACTTAGATGTTTAGCCTGTTTGATCCTTGGGCAGATAGATTAGGTGGGTTTACTATTATTCCTCTGAAATCACAGCAAGTTAACTAATTTAACCATTAGCTATGGAAAACTTCATTCTTAATAGGCATAGGCAAATCATCCACAAATGGGCCACGTTCCATAGCTGCGATGGATTGCCAGAGGGTAGTCTTCTGTTACCCACTAGTCTCAATGGCCTTCCTGGTTACTGTTCAAGATACGGGGTCGTTCCAACCTATTTTAGGTAAATGATACATTGGGGGTGCCATAAACATCTCATGTTTAGCCAATCTTTGCTACCTAAAACCCTGTCTCTGGAGTGCCAATCTTTTTGCTTCTTTATCAACCCCATTTCCCCCCAAAGGCATCTAGCATAGATCCAACTTATTCCAACTTTATGACTCTTGTTCTCCCATTTTTATTGGATACGTCCACAACTCCACCAGATGTCTAGTTGTTCTCATTTTTTCCCAGCGTTTCCAAAAGGAAAATCCAAACATGTCCCAAAAAATGCAAATTTCCATTGAGAGAAGCGTGTATGTAGTTATCATGTATCTACCAGGTGTTCCATGTTTTTTCCGATGCTTTTCTTGCTTTTTCCCAGGTTTTTCCAGGGTTTTTTCCCGGAAGCGTAGCAAGGGTTCCCGTTTCACTCTGGAGCTTTGGGGGTTGAGGGGGTGGCTTGGACTTGGACTTGATGGTCTCAGAACCCGCCCTAAAAGGTACCGAAAGCCGAAACAGCGCATGTGTTCGTAAATGGGATGTCCCACGAGGAGTGTGCCAAAATCCATGGGTATCACCATAGGCTTACCTCATTTTAAGAAAAAACAGCTGCTCAGTGACAAGCCTGGCGCCATTTCGTGCTGTTTTGTTTCCGAGGATAGAGAGACTTCGTTGTTTCCAATGATTTTCATGGATTTTCAATATCAAATCTGTTGAATACTGAACACCCAGTCTTTTGGAGGTTCATGTTGACCTGCAGTAAACTAGAGTGTGTCTAATCTTCGGAGGGTTTAGTGAGGCCTTTGGCGCGTGAGGAACTTTTCCAGACCGCAGATATCTGCAGACCAAAACATGACAAAATGAGTCGGAAAGTTGCACAAATTGGTTCCGAACCTACACGGGTGTTGCAACTCATGCATGATAAGGATTCATAAACTGGGATCACTCCAATTGGTATGCAACATGGAAGACTTTATAGTGTCAACCCCAGACATACCAACGCTGGCTGATGAATTGGGGGTTTTGATGCCAAATGCCATGATCATTTCCCAAGGTCGAAGATTTCGGGGGTTCATGGGAAAACTCCTAGGTAGGATCCAGAGGGAAATGAAAGTTTTGTTCCACCTTAGAATGATGTCTGACAGTGGGGATTTGGACTGGTGGATGTTGGGCGGCGAAGGGGTACCTTCACCAGTAACTTTCACACTGGATTAACCCAAAAAACATGAGGTTTGGGTCTTGAATGTCGGACATGGTTTTGTTGTTGTGGTTGTTGTTGTTGTTGGTGGTGGTGGTGGTGGTGGTGGTGTTTTGCAAAGCTTCACTCCGCCAGGGCAAAACACCACCGAGCTGACCGGTTCAGCGGGCTTCGAGCTCCAAAATGTCACTGCCGGACGTTGCCTTCTGAACCCTCTAGAAAACCACCTCCAAAGCCCCGTTCCGCCAGGGCAAAACGCCGTGCAGACAGTTTCAACGGGGCCTCGCGCCTTCAACTTCTCTACGCTGGACATTGGGTCTGCTGACCTTCGAGGGCACGTTTTAGCCAACAACCCTTTTTTTCTGGCGCACTCCCCACTCAACACTCCACCGTCTTCATTGTCTTCACACTCCACACTCTGCACTCCATCCCATCCCACACTCCACGGTCTACGCTGGTACGGTAACAGGGGAAAATGACTGTTGAAGTAACTTGTTTCACAAAAGTGTTTTACGTTACTGCATTTGGGTTCGTTGGTTTATGTTGTTTTTCCCATATTTTTTTTGATGTTTCCCGCGTTTTACAAGTTCTCAATGTTTTTCCCGATTTTTTCTAGATTTTTCTTTATTTTCCCAGCTCCGTCACCCAGGTTTTACCTCACGGGACACTCCTTGGGTGGCGGTTTGGCCAAGCTGGTGGCGTTGGAAGTGGGCCGCAAGTCTGCCACTGGGGCCTCCGGTTTCAATGGAAATCCATGGGCAAATCATGGGAAATCCCCCTAAATGGAAGTTTTGATGGATAATTCACCTCTAATTTTGGATTTTCCAGCCACGTCTGAACACAGGAGAGTAGCTATATAAATGAAATGAACATGGGGAATCTCCTCCATGTATTTTCGTGGATGTGTTAGTGGATGTACCTGGTGAAAATATGATTCATTGCAGTATGTGCATGTATTTGTTTTAATCCCCCACAGCTCCAACGTATTTAACTATGTCATGTTGAGAACAAAATGTCCCAAACACTTGGGTAATTTGGCATGCCTCCACGTTGAATTCCGTCGAAAGAAATGGATTTGTCGAAAAATGAGCATTGTCCCCAATTCTGATGGATAAAACAGCATTTTTCACATTGTCCCTTTTTTCAAATGGTTGTTTGAGGGCCATGGATCACTTTGCCAACTTCAAATGGCTGGGGGCGTACGGTAAAATGTGGATAAAACAATAGCAAACCATCTCCAAACCACCATAAGCAGGTGGCATAAACCATTCCCAAATGGTTGTTTTTTTTGCATTTTTTCCTGCATTACATCCGCAAAACCCCTCGAGAGTTAGCCTCGTGAATTTCAGGTGACCTTTGCCTCCCCGGGTTTACGCTACACCTCGGAGATGCTTCTGTCCAAGGAGTTCCGGGTTTGGGAGAAAAATTGGATCGGCGCAGATTGACCATGTGGATATCACAATATTTTTTGCGTTGGGTTGGATATATGTATATATAATAGCATGGTTAGATATATCTCTATAGTTGTGTGTCTTACAATTGGCGATCTCAACTCACAAAATGGTTGTTTCAATATGTTTTTTGCAATCTGACTTGGATGATTTGGGGTGCCCCCTGACCTGCAAATCTGCATTTTTTAGTGTGTCTGAAATGGGTATACCCCAAATGTATGTTTTTTTTTGGAGGGGAATAATAATTGGTTGGTGGTTTGGAACATTGGGAAGAATCATCCCAACTGAGTAATAGTTTTCAGAGGGGTTGAAACCACCAACCAGATAGGGATAATGACGAATTACCATTTGTATTTCATTATTTCTTCGGGGTACTGATATCCTACTTTCAGACAAAACCGCTAATGGTATGATAAGTAGTAATTTCTATTGAGTGCCACATTCATGGATATCAATGATATGATGATTTGTCGCTCACTATTGATAGTAGCTGTTTTTCAAAATGTGGTCATTTGATGTGGCTGGATCTTGGTAGTGCAATGTGCTGCCCTCCAGTTGTGTGTGTGATGGCTTGTAAACCCCACTAGCTATAGTTATAGTTATAATCACCACAAACCTGGTTAGCAGAGTTATAAGTTATAAGCCAACGCGGCAACCCGGACCTGCGGCAGCACCCTGTCCCCAAGTTCTACGATGCTGAAAATGAATGTTTTGGAAAGCGAATTTTGTCATCCATGCTAGCGCGCAAACGTGTCTGCAAAATTGCTTGGAATCCCATTCTCATCAATGGGAATATACCCACAAAATATGGTCTGAAAAATGGTACTAACGTACCTCCATTTTAGGATCCTGGAATGAGCATTGATCTCAAGGAAAAAATTATCGAATTGTCCTGGCAAAGCGCTTCAAGGGAAGCAGTTTCAAAGGCGTCCGGCTTGGCCTGGCAAGGGAAAAGGCCGACGCGTGCCGTACAGGTGGGAGCCTCTTTTTGTGGGACCGGACAGAGAGATTTCTTGCGCGCGTCTTCTGAGAGTGACTTCGATAAGATCAAATGCCACAGATTTCAACCAGAACATCATCTAGAAAATGTTGGATGTTTATGTTTTTTACTTTACGCCAAACATTGGCACAAAAATCACTAGAATCCCATCCCCCCTACCAGCACTAAACACCCCCATTCCATTGTCCCCATGGTTTCCGGCTGGTGTTTGAATATGAACGGGCGAAGGGATTCCTTGTTTGGATCCCTATGTTTGATGGTATATCCCGATGTATTATATGGAGGACTTTATTTTCGGATTTTTGGGGGGACAGTTTTTTTTTGATTCCTGCTTCTCTGCTTTTCGGGCTGCTCTGTTGTTCTGCTTTTCCTGCTTTTGCGTTGTTCCTGCTTCTTTGCTTTTCCGCTTCTCTAGTTTTTTACTTTTTTTTCTTTTCCAGCTTTTCTGCTTCTCTTCTTTTGTCGCTTCTCTCTTTCTGTGTTTCCGTTTTTTGCTTTTCCTGCTTTGCGTTTCTGCTTTTCTGCTTTTGTGCCTTTCTACTCCTACTTTTTTTTCTTCAGTCATGTGTTTTTGCTGCTCCACTTCCTGCTCCTCTGCTTCCTGCTTCTCTGCTTCCTGCTTCTCTCTTTTTTTTGATTTTTCTTTTGCATCCCGTTTGTATCCTAAATGAAACTCTAAAATGAAACCCTAAATGAACCCTAACGAAACCATAAATGAAACTCTAAAGAAACCCTGCATGAAACTGTAAAGAAACCCTAAACGAAACTCTAAAGAACCCTAAATGAAACCCTACATGAAACCTCAAATGACTTCCTAAAGAAACCCTAAACGACACCCGAAAGAAAACCTAAATGAAACCCTAAAGAAACCTTTTAAGAAACCCTAAATGAAGCCCTAAAGAAACCCTAAATTTAAATGAAACCTTAAAGAAACCCTATGAAACCCTGAACCCTTAAGAAAGCATAAATGAAATCGACAAAAAACCTTACATGAAACCCTAAATGAAACCCAATATGAAACTGTAAAGAAACCTTAAATGAAACGCTAAAGAAACCCTAAATGAAACCTTGAATGAAACCCTAAAGAAACCCTAAATGAACCCTAAAGAAGCCCTACCGAAACAGACATGAACGTTTGAAGTACCAAAATGTAGCAAACACAATGCAAAATGGAAAGCGAACATGGCAAAATGTAGCAAATACCGTGCAAAATGGAAGGTGACCATGCCAAAATGTTAGCAAATACCATGCAAGATGACAGGTTCTAGTTCCAAACTGGCGCAAATACACGGCAAATGGTACCAGCAAAGAAATCCAAAACAAATGCCAAAACCTGACCAAAAACAAAAACTATTCTTCACCCGTATTATATCCCCATTATACCACCATTTGTTTGATGAAGTCACTGTAGATAAGAATAGGTTGGTTAAGATTGATTAAGTCACCATTTCTATAATCTCTAAAAATAGGTCTATGAAGAATCCCTATGCCCAAAAAAACAATATATTTTTCACACCAATCTACAGGAAGAAATCTGATTTAATCTCCCAGGAGACTGCAGTGGCCAGTGACCAGTTGCTTGCGGCAGGCCGAAGTTGGGAATGGAAGTGTGAGATTTAATGGGAGTCCATAATTTAGAGTCCAAGATCATACTCCCATAAACTCCGATTATTATTAACCCATTAAACCCATATTTTTTGGGAATAGGAATGGGATCATTTGTGTGACTTAATGTTATCTAATTCTGCAATAATGGGATATACCATTGGACTATATAAAGTTTGAATGGGATGATAATTGGGTTTCCTAAGTCATGGTGGGTTCCCAGTCGTCACAAAATGCTTGTTTCAATGCTATACTTATTTTGGTCTTATGACGACTGGATGATTTGGGGTACCACCATTTTAGGAACCCCCCATACAATAATTTTGGTTAATGGGGTTTATAGACCAACTATAGTTAACTATGTATCTATGTATCTATGTGGTTTTGACAATGGGGTGCCCATGCCGTCTTGATGGTTGACCATCATGCTCCCAATTAAATTACAGTGGCCATTTGGGGGAATGTGCTCCATTTTCAGACAGACCCATAGGAAAATCAATTAGTTTCCATAGGGAATTCCAAGTCTTTCCACATGAGATATAATACATAGGATTAATAGGTATAGGTGATATTAAATCACCATAGATTTGACCGATATAATACTCTGTTCCCCATGCAAATGCAGCTTCTCTATTTGAACTATACGTTGCATGTGAGTGCATCCACTGATGTGGCAATGTGGGGATGATCATCTATGAAACACCAGCTATGAAGGAGAAAAAATGGCTTTGTTTGAATAGGTGCAAAAGCATCAAAATGACCATCCATACATTAGCCGTAAATTACCCTCTGGTAAACATACAAGAAACTATGGAAAATCACCATTTTCAATGGGTAAATCCACTATTTCTATGGCCATTTTCTATGTCGCAAACTGTTGGGTTACCAGAGGGTACCCTCTTCAGACAAAAAACAAAATGCTTGTTGGGTAATACATCCCATTAAAAAATCCCCGGGAAATCAATTTCGCCTATGTTTTTTTTCTTCCCGGTGCTTTAGCACCATGTTTGGCATGGTTCCTGCATCATTACTAGCCAAAGATTTCCCGTTTGGGTCCCATTTGCTTGAACAATTCGTCATTTTTGCATGGTTAAGCCAGTGAAATCACTATGTTTGCATGGTTTTTGCATGGTTAATCCAGCTAATTTCTGCTACTTCAATGGCTAGGAAAAAAAACGGTCCTGGCAGGTGATCGCTTAGGGACTGTGGTGGTGCCAGAGCAGCTCGGAGATCAGTGCATGAAGCGAATGAACCAACCAACAAAAAACAGGTCTAAAATAGGTATAACCCCCCATTATAGTTGGTTCATACCCCATTATGGTTTTATAGTTGATTTTACAGTTGTTTTCACTATAGTTGTATAAAATCGTTCAAATATAATGGTCTATTTTCGTCGATGATAGTGGGTTGTCTCAACCAAATCATGCAACATTATAGTTATAAAATGTTATAAATCCAAGTTGCAAACCCCAACTATAGACTACGGTTGATGATAATCATCTACATTGAATTTGGCTATAGTTGTTTCATGTTGTTTCAACATCATTAATTAAACAGTCATAGAATATTATATAAGATACCTGTATAACTTGTATAGCCTTTTGCAGTCTCACTTTGCAAGCGATGATGAGTGAGAATATAACATAATGAACTATATTAACCAACTTGGCAACAGGGTGAGGCCCCAAGCAAAAATCATTGCGAATTTATTGAGTTGTTTCATGGGACTTAGCTGAGTTGACGCACAGTTCACTTGGCTAACTGTTGGGCTGAGGGAATAACTTGGCTTATATAACTATATAGAATATAACTACATTATATAACTCTATGTATATAGCCTATAGTATCTATTTATATAACGGATTATTTAGTAATTAATGAGGTGAAACTACACGATAAGTGGAGGGGCCTCGCCTTGCAGGCATAGAAATCATCATCTTTATGTTACATCCTGAAGTTGTTAAATAGGATTAATGAACCAATAAGAACTGGTCCCTAATGTTAACCCAGGACATCCCAGGACCAAAGAACTACCAGTTTACAAATACGGGGATACCAAAATGGTTGGGTACCAGTGCAAACAGCCCTTTATCATTGGGGAGTTGCTCCAATTCATCAAGTCAGTTTATTTATCCAGGGTTGACATATGGTTATATTGCATGATTACAGTTGTTTTTAGGCATATTGATGGGATAACTATAAAGATGTGGATACTCTGGTATGGTAATGCAACAGTTTGCGAACTAGAAGCCATAGCCTCCATAGCCTCCATAGCCCATTTGCTTCGATGGTTTCCTAAAAAGGCATACGACGCATACGACAAGTCGCGAGGGGACCAGGCCATCCCACACCACAGTGGCTCCAAACACGCATTTCACAGAACCGCATGTTATTTCGTGCAGCAGGAAATCAACCTAGTATATAAAGATATTTTATTATAGACCATTATAGACCTATATATAAATATACCATTGAACATCAATAAAATTAACTCATTAAACACCAATGCTGGCTCCAGCAACTAATAATGCACCATCATTAAAATCTCATCAAAATTTGTGGTTTGGTGCCAGCACTTCCGAGGCACGACTTGGTTTCCCGCGTGGACCAACAATTGGGAGCGGAGCTGGGCATTGCCTGCGACAAGAACCCGCCACTGGGGATGGCTAGCCATTGAGGTGTTTGAATGGATGATATATATATATACACAAGATAAGCGACATATCTATATACTATCTAGTAATGTATGATGGTGATTTAATCCCCTCGGTTTGTGGATCTATATCAATTAAAATCTATACATGGATCTATATTCTCGAAGTGAAGGGAATTAATTATGGATTTAGATTTATATAATATAAAGGTGATGGAAATCGGAGGTGTTGGAGAATCCTTGCCAACTTAATGGACAAAGCTTTTGGCATCAGTTGAAACCATCAACCTGGGAAGTATTGACATTATAAATGATATGTTTTGGAACGTTCCTGTAAAAAAAATATGATAGTAGCCTTGGAAAAGCCAGAGGTAGAGGGGCCCAGTTATCCCAGTTTGGAAGATTTGGGATACCAGACAGTCCACTTCACTAGTTAATAAACAATGTCTCTATGTTTTTGTCAAATAGCTATTGTTATATGGGTGTATGCAGCATTTTCAGACACGTGCTTTTTTCCATTACAATCCTTTGCTTTACCCTCTATTCATTGGCATAGCTATGGAAAATGGCTCATTTATAGATGATTTATACCCGAATACAAAACTACAATGATTTTCCATAGTTCTGTCAAATTCCCAGATGGTAGTGGAATGGTTTCCAGAACGGAAGAGCTTTTCCACCCTGTTAACATGTGATTAAAACACCGTGGTGTTTGGCGAGATTAAGCCGCGGTTGGATCTAAGCACCCTATGGCAATCAAACATGGCTCGCAATGGGAAATCCCTGCACTCAATGGAAGTTCCAACTGGTAAATACATCTTTGAATGAGGCAATTTCCTTTGCCATGTTTGCTTCCCAGAGGGTACGTATATTATTGGTTATATGAGTAACTGGCACTGACAAGCCTGTTGTATGATGAATTCAGTATTGCTTCGCCTTAGCCTTGTCGCTGAGCGCGTAAAACCTTTACAACAGATAGAGGACAACCCTACACCGATATCATCCCTGTATCTGCATGTCAATGAATACAGAAATCCACAGAACCGATAGGGAACTGCCCCATTTGTGTATGGTGTATATGTTCCACAAACAAGTGATTTTTTCCGCCACTGATAGCAAGGCTAAGAAAGTATCAGTATTTGACTTTATTTGGGCAATCCCCGTTTAACGAGAGACTGAAACCACCATTACGTATGGTTCAATACTAAAAGGAACCAAATGTTCTTCCTGCTCAGGGACAAATGCCTGCATGGTTCGTCTGAAAATCTGCTAAATGCACCATCTGTATCTGCATGTATAGGGTAAATTCCATGGGTTTGTCTGAAAATAGGGGATATTCCCAATGAAATAACCATTTAATAGGGATAATGATCAGCAAAACCATTGGGTTTAGGGGTACACAACATTTTCAGACACACCCCCATGGTAAAATCCCACCATGACCCAGGTTGAGCTGTCATACTTTGACGCATATTATTTGGGAACTACACCAGGGATGCAACTTGGCGCATGGGAAATTCCGGCGTGTTTTGCTTCGCCAAAGAGGAGCTAGTCATGACTAGCTGGGAATGGACTGTTGGGCCTGGGCAGCCAATAGAAGAAAGAGAATTTGAGCGGAGGGGAAATAGTTGATCAAATCAATTAAAAATAAAGGCCTTCAAAGCAGCAAATATATAATCATAACACATATATGAAAGTACTGGGAATGATTCGGCAATGTGCCGAATAAAGCCATACAAAACTGGACCTTTTCGACGGATCTGCTAGTGCCTGACCATCTATTGGTTTCATTTTTTTTGTTTGATGTTCAATCCCCAATCGAAACATTGGTCTCAACCCTCCTCTCAACCCCCCAATTGGTCTCAACCCCCAATTGTTTTTTGTCCAATAAAATTTGTGCTTTTTTATTTTCTAGGAGGGTTGAAGCCACTGCTCTCCAGCCATTTGGCCCATTTTGGCCCCAGGCAAGAGCTTTTTCAAAAGAACGTCATCCGCGAGAGCAAAGAGCTAACGAGCGAACTGGCGTGGGAGAGCGCAGTGCATGCGTAG